TCCTCCTTTTCTCCTAAATAAACAACCCCTTCTCATCGCAACTTACTCTTTCCTTCCTTCTTGCTCGTCTGTCTTTATTTCTCGTCTGCTTCCTATTTCCTCAAATTTTCAAGAAGATGCCAGAAATCCCATCCAACAAAAAAAATCTCAGGAAAATTATAGTCCCAAAAGAAAACACAATCACAACTAGACAGAATTTCACTTGTTGAAGCATTCATCCAATATTCAATGAATATGGAAACAGGATTAGCATTTGAGCATTTATGCTCTATGAGTGATTTCCCCACTTCCTAACCGTGACAGTGACAATCTGTCCACGTCAACATTTCTATGAATCTTTAATCCCACAGAAGCTCAGAAATTATGATGTTGTAAGCTGTAATCATTTAACTGATTGTCATTCATTTCATTTAGTTCTAAATGCAGTAGATAAAAGCTTGAGATAGTACTAATGGAATATACAAAAAAACACACGATTGACCCAATGAGCTACATAAATCATTACCATACTTGAGACTGTCGGTCTCAGTTAATTTCTTGGAAATGAACTAGTTAGAAATGAACTAGTTGTAAACAAGTTATTTTTTAATTTACTTTTCATTTCTTTTTTTCTTTCTGCATTTTCTACTTCTTTTCTTTTCTTTCTTTCTTTCTTTCTCTCTTTTTCATTTATTGATTTTTAATTTTTTTTTTTTTTTTTCGGGGGGGGGGGGGGGGATGCTGGGCTTGGGGGCTAGTATGAATCAAACCAAGCATTTGAATGTTTGTCATGGCTGTAGATATTTTGGACATTTCATGAATACGCAAGTACAGTAAATACATGAAATTGCATCATTATATCTGGTTATCCTTGGTTTCCTGTTCCTGAATTTCCCAATCACTACTGTATTTTGTTATTAAAACCACAATATTTGTCATACTAATTCCATGTTTGAACTATTGTAAGGTCATGCAGTCATTCAAGTTTAATCCCACTGCCATGTTCAGCCATGCCTTCAACAACAAAAATTGCTGCAGCAACAAAAACAAAAACAAAAAAAAAAAAATTAAAAAGAATAGCAGGAAACAGTGCTGTATGTTTAAACAAATGAAAGCCATGGCAACAATATATACAAGCACAGGATATAGTACCATACTAGTACATGTCAATTTATTTTTTTCACAGTGTTTGTTAAATTTGTATTAAAGGGCTCTTTTATGCAATGAGTCTTGTACAACTTTTCCATTTATTTCATCACAAGAATAACAAATCTCCTGATTTGGCCTTTGAGGTATGGTTGTGATATTGAAAGAACCATTAGTTAAAGGTCATATCAAGAGAGGTAATTTGTTGATATTGTTGAAATAAATAGAGAAAAGATGTGAAATAGAACTATAGAATATCAACCTAAAGCGTGAAAACCATGTCTTGTGTATGAACAAGGCTATTATATACAGTGCGATTCCATAAAAAGGAAACACATTTTCAAGCCCCAATATCTCAAAAGTAAAACCAAAATTACTGCAATATATCATAATTGTATGATAATTGATAATGTCTCCTTTAATTGGATAGCACTATGAATATGATGGACAAAGAAAGCGGACAAAACATACAGTTCCTCAGGTAGACAAAGGAACATCCCTTCACTGCTATTTTACATTTTACATAATAGCAGTGAAGGGATGTTCCTTTGTCTGAGGAAGTGTATATTTTGTCCGCTTTCTTTGTCAGTCATGTTCATAGTGTAGGTTGCTTATCAAAATGCAAGCACAGATGACTGAGCACTGGCTATTTACAAAAAAGCATGCCAAATTGTCCTTCACCCAAGTTCAGAAGTTGCTCTCATCATGCATGAGTGCATGTCATTGACCGCCAGTTATCATTCAAAATTTTGGCATAGGGAAATTTTACATCAATCAAGAAAATTGCTACTGTTCAGCACTCCATGGCTGTATTTTATTGATCAAGGTATGAAATTAAAGAAAAATTATAGGCTACAATGTGATTATCCTGGATTAAATATTCACATACTTATTGCAATGATATTAAGGGTTATACCCCAATTTTCTTTTGTAACTCACATTGTAGACACTCCAGCAAGCATAGAGAGTCAATGCTAATGGGTATTGACCTCTAGCACTGCACTACGTGCTATAAAGAGGCATCAATTGCACAAAAACAGTCAATACACTTATTGCACACTGGTGCACACAATGAAGACGATGTGCCTGATCAACAACCCACAACCCACTACTTGGTGAGCCTAGTGGATACAATCCTCAAGGGCTTAGATAGGCCTGGCTACTGTGCGTCCCTTTGCACGATAGATTTTTCTAAAGCCTTCGATCGTGTCAACCACAATATAGTGATTCACAAACTCTTCACGTATGGTGTCAATGAAGCAGTTCTTCAGACCGCGACCAGCTTCTTAACTGATCGCACCTAGGCTGTTAGAGTTGGCTCTTGTATCTCCGAGGAAAGGCATTTGACGTGCGGAGTTCCGCAGGGAACAAAACTAGGCCCGTTGATGTTCCTAGCTCTGGTGAATGATGCCGCACATGATATCGAGCATCATTGGAAATATGTTAACGACCTAAGTAGTGCTGTAACATCACGCACATCTCCGTTTAACCGCCTGTCAAAACCGGACGGTTTTCGGTTAAACGATTTATTTAAAATTAAAAAAAAATTTAAAAAAAAAAAAAATTAAAAAAAATCGTTTTTTTTTTTTTTTTTTTTTTTTTTTGGCCGTGTGAAAAAGCAGGAAGGTGATTTAACTGAAGGCGCCGATTTGTCACAAATAATAATAATAATGTCGTTTTAGAATAATGTGTAAGATCATTAAAGTAAATTAAAAACAGTAGAGGACCTAGGATAGAACCTTGTGGTACACCATGTGTTAAACTTGGATGAATATATATTGAGATCTATTACAAAGGTTACTTTCAAACCAAGATGACAGACAAATTGGAGTGTTGTTCTAGTTTCCAAGTGGTAAGTCATCACACCGATTACTGAGCTGGGAGACATTGCCAGGCATAGTGCCAGGTGGAGGGGCATAAATGGAAACTTAAAAAAAAAAAAAAAAAAAAAAAAAAAATATTAAAAAAAAAAAATTATTTAAAAAAAAAAGAAAACAAAAAAAAACGGGAAAACGAAACCGTCCAATTGAAAACGGAATCCGCCATCGGCGGTCGGATACCGGACGGTTAAACGTTTGACTACAGCACTAGACCTAAGCCTTTTTGAGATTCGACATCGGCACCACCGAAACTACAGGACCATCTTGACGAATTAGAAAATTGGAGTAAAGACAATGACATGAAATTCAATACCACCAAGAGCAATGCCATGTCTGTCAACTTCACGAAACGTACCATCAACACTCCTTGTTTGCGTCTCAATGATGAGCCTCTGAAAACAACGAAATCCCAGAAAATACTGGGCGTGCACTTACAATCCAATCTCAAGTGGGACAAACAAGTTGGTGATATGGTATCAAGAGCGGGAAAGCGAGTATTTATGATAAGTCGTCTTCGAAAGGCATCCGTCCCAAGTTGTGACCTAGTCAACATCTACTCATCTTACATTCGTCCTCTTTTGGAGTATTCATCTCCCCTTTGGTCTCCAAGCATCACTGCAAATCAGTACAATGATATTGAGAAAATCCAGAAACGTGTCTGCCGCATCATTATGAAGGACCAGTATGTCTCTTACGACCATGCTCTAGAGCACCTCTCCATCTGTCGTATGTCTGAGCGTCATGAACAACTACTGGATTCCTTTGCTCGTAGTCTGTTGAAATCTCCCCGGCACCGTGATCTTCTCCCTCCCTTACGTAGTGATATGTCCTCTCGTCGCCTACGCTCTTCACATCTTCTCAACACCCCCCTCTGTCGGACTACCCGGTATTATTCCTCAACGATACCCACTATTGTTAGACTGCTTAATTCACCTTGAATCTTTGAACTAAAACTAACAAAGATCGAGTAAACAAAACAATGTATTTGATTATATTCCCACATGCATATTCATCTACTGATTGCTACTTTTGTATCTCCTCTTCTATGTGCAATATCAATTAATAACAGAACTTGAGAATGTTTCAATCAATGTGAAATAGCCTTTTTACTTGTTAATATTTATCTTTGTCGATTTCAACATTACATCTTTATCATAACTATATTTAATTAATTCAAGGTTTCTTCACTTTATACTCTGTGATGTAATATTAATTTGCCAATTTCGCTGAATTCAGGACCATCACCTTGTTAATATTTATCTTTGTCGATGTCAACATTACATCTTTATCATCACTATATTTAATTCATTCAAGGTTTCTTCACTTTATACTTTCTGATATAATATTAATTTGCCAATTTCGCTTAATTCAGGAACATCACCTTGTTTAACCAATATTGAAACTTAGCTTTAATATCTTATCTTTTATCGTATTTTATCTGTATAAACATCTAAATGTTATCCCACCTACGTATCACTGTTGCAATAAACCTGTAAATTGTTAATTATCAATTTTCTATCTCATGTAAAACGAATGACAATTTTATATCATCAATGAAACTGTAAATCCTATTTAAATATACACAATATTTGTTAAGTGCGCTATATATTTTAATGTGTTATCAATGCAATGTTATGCCATGTACTTTTTTACTCTGTAAATTGAACAATTTCAGGTTTGAGCTGCATGTCCGATGATTTTATCTCAATAAACCAATACAATACAATACAATACAAGTTTGACAGTAGACTTACAATTTTAATTTTTGAATTATTCTTTCTAACATCGGTAAGTTGACAAAATTGTATTGTACTGCTATTTAGGTGTCATCAATTATCACTTAAGTACCGATTTTGAGTGAAATCAGTTGAGTTTTGTACAGTGGTGTTTGAAATGTTGAGAATCAATAGCACAGTTTTTAATACACAGCCAGCATAATAATGCAGCTACGTGGGATTGTAGAGTGTTGATACATAATCAATTTGGTATACTTACAGCTACAGGTGCAGGTCTCTGCTGGGGCGGGGCTTGTGCGGGCGGGGCCTGTGCGGGGATGGAGGCTGCACCTGCATAGGCTGCCTGAGGTTGAGGCATACCCGGTCCACCAATGACGGGGGCGGGTTGGACAGGGGGTGGTCTGAAGGCTGTGGCCGCCATAGCTGCACCCTGGTGATCAAGAAGAGACAACATGAATTCAAAGCAATGGGACTATTAACTCATTTATTCGCCATGGATCAAAACCCTGGACTGCCTAATTGTTTGGAGTATACATTATCTGTTTTGGAGCAAGAAGGACATTAACTCTGTATTAAAGCCTATCTGCACTAGTTTGGCCAGGAGGGATAAGACCTCCCTGCGTGGTCACTGACGGGTGGTTATCTCATCAAACCAGCTCTCAATTAACATAAGAAAAGGGGGATCATGGGGGACCAACGGGTAGTGCTTAGGCATTATTTGCTGTATAGAGGGTGCAAGTAGCTGCAAGTAGCTGCAAATAGTGCAGACAGGCTTTAAAGTATATGAGTTTGTGCCCTTCTGGCTTGAAGCACACAATATTATATGTGTACGCTATATGTGTGACAAAAGTCAACCATGGCAGTCCTGTTTGTTCCACTTCATTTTGTTGACTAAAGCTGACAAAGAGTTAAGCCAACTAAAATTGATTCCTATACTTACTCATTTCAATTTCTTTTCTTTTTTTCTTCATTTTTTGAAGAGAAGTGATAATGGGGATGATGAGACCCTATATTATTTGATATTTCATATTTCTACCCATATGTACAAATGCTACAGGTTCAATTTCAACAAGGTTTCTTAATTATTTCTTTTTTCATTTTCTATATACATGTATTACACTATACAGAGATTCGAAATTGCACACATTTCATATAATATTTAGTACCTACAATACATGCACTTGCATATATTTTTTATTTCCTCATTCTGTTAATGATTTATACTGATACTTTGTCATCTCATGTTATAACAATATAAATACAATCAAGAAGAAAATGAAAGGGCACAGATGAGTATTTAGGAAATGTGAAGTTTACTTAGCCTTATTTATACATGTATGTAGTTGATATGGGGAAAAATACATTGTACCATGCTGCATATATATCGTCATCAATATTTTGAACCGGAAATCTGTCATATATATTACTGTTCGGATGTTGGTTCATAATATCGATGACAAAATCATTGAAATGTGCACAAGCTTGATCATATTTTTGTTTACCACTAAAGATATTCACTATCTTGTAACAGGCAATTTTAATTCCTTTTCAAATGCATTCTTTCAAACGCATTCTTTCAAACGCATTCTTTCAAGCGCATTCTTTTCAAGCGCATTCTTTTCAAGCACATTCTTTTCAAGCGCATTCTTTTCAAGCACATTCTACAAACTATTACTTACCGGTACATAAAACATATGTATTACATTATTCATCACACTAAATGTTATCACTTATTCATGATTTATATAAAATATCACCAACTATTGTTCTTAAATTATTATTCTACAGTCTATACTCTTATCTATTAAAGACAACATGAATTCAAAGCAATGGGACTATTAACTCATTTATTCGCCATCACTATGAACATGACTGACAAAGAAAGCGGACAAAATATACAGTTCCTCATGTAGACAAAGGAACATCCCTTCACTGCTATTATGTAAAAATGTGTAGAACAGGTGTCACATGCATATTCACCTTTTTACATAATAGCAGTGAAGGTATGTTCCTTTGTCTACCTGAGGAACTGTATATTTTGTCCGCTTTCTTTGTCCGTTATATTCATAGTGCATGGATCAAAACCCTGGACTGCCTAATTGTTTGGAGTACATTATCTGTTTTGGAGCAAGAAGGACATTAACTCTGTATTAAAGCCTATCTGCACTAGTTTGGCCAGGAGGGATAAGACCTCCCTACGTGGTCACTGACGGGTGGTTATCTCATCAAACCAGCTCTCAATTAACATAAGAAAAGGGGGATTATGGGGGACCAACGGGTAGTGCTTAGGCATTATTTGCTGTATAGAGGGTGCAAGTAGCTGCAAGTAGCTGCAAGTAGTGCAGACAGGCTTTAAAGTATATGAGTTTGTGCCCTTCTGGCTTGAAGCACACAATATTATATGTCTACGCTATATGTGTGACAAAAGTCAACCATGGCAGTCCTGTTTGTTCCACTTCATTTTGTTGACTAAAGCTGACAAAGAGTTAAGCCAACTAAAATTGATTCCTATACTTACTCATTTCAATTTCTTTTCTTTTTTTCTTCATTTTTTGAGGAGAAGTGATAATGGGGATGATGAGACCCTATATTATTTGATATTTCATATTTCTACCCACATGTACAAATGCTACAGGTTCAATTTCAACAAGGTTTCTTAATTATTTTTTTTTTCATTTTCTATATACATGTATTACACTATACAGAGATTCGAAATTGCACACATTTCATATAATATTTAGTACCTACGTGCACTTGCATATATTTTTTATTTCCTCATTCTGTTAATGATTTATACTGATACTTTGTCATCTCATGTTATAACAATATAAATACAATCAAGAAGAAAATGAAAGGGCACAGATGAGTATTTAGGAAATGTGAAGTTTACTTAGCCTTATTTATACATGTATGTAGTTGATATGGGGAAAAATACATTGTACCATGCTGCATATATATCGTCATCAATATTTTGAACCGGAAATCTGTCATATATATGTGACCCGGCACCACAAAACCAACAAAAAGTCGCAAAAAAATATTTTCCTGATTTCATCTGATTATGACAGAAGAAGTTCTCCTCATTAAAATGGTATATTACTTGTCCAAATTGAAGCTTCCTAACCCTTTCAATTTAGTGAATGAAAAGAGCTGGTGAGGGAGGTTACTGGTATTAAATTGTGAGAAAGAGAGCTTTGAAGTTTGGGGCTATTCAAGCATGCGGAGCAAGCAAACCACAGGGAAATCAATAGAAGGGTGAATCAAAAGGCCATAGCAACCACTATGAAGAGATTTTCAGATTAGGCTGAAATTTGGCCTGATGGTCAAACATAGTCTGTTCATTATGTTTCTGAGGTTTCAATGTGTGGACTTAAGTCTTTCAAAAGTTATTATGTTGTAAATGTATAGAGTTGTAATTGGACAGATTAAGTGAACTGCAACATAGTGCCGAGACACCTGCACTAGACAATGCCTATTCATGGTGGACCCGGAGTCTTTTTGTTCCCCCTTACATAACACTGCTTGTCACCTATCTTGTTTTGTATACATCTGGGCAATTATTTGTAACCACATTATGAACTTTCTTTATACTTAATTCCCATACTGTTTTCTTTCTCACAGGAGGTTCAAAGTATTTTTACTATGACTTGCTCTTTCATTTCCAGTAGCCATCCTGATGATAATTAATGGAAGCAATTCATAAATACCAGCCAGAAAGTGGTATAAAAATAAAGAAAGGCAGGAGACACACAGTAAAGACACCAACATAGAATAACGAAAAATAGAAAGAATGAGAGAGAGAGACAGAGAGGGAAAAGAAGGGGGAGAATTATGATAGCTGTAAGCAATATGATGATATCAAGAGTGTGAATGTGTGTTTACAATAAGAACTTGATTTCAAAACTCTTATGGGAGAATAAATTTGGAAGCACAGAAATGAAAACAAAATTATTTAGGGAATGTCACAACTCTTTCCCATCCTGTATCAAAAGTTTAAAAATGCAACAACTCTCTCTCATCCTTTATCACAAGTTTGAAAATGCAACAACTCTTTCTCATCCTGTATCACAAGTTTAAAATGCAACAACTCTTTCTCATCCTTTATCACAAGTTTAAAAATGCAACAACTCTTTCTCATCCTTTATCACAAGTTTGAAAATGCAACAACTCTTTCTCATCCTTTATCACAAGTTTGAAAATGCAACACCTCTTTCTCATCCTGTATCACAAGTTTAAAATGCAACAACTCTTTCTCATCCTTATTCACAAGTTTAAAAATGCAACAACTCTTTCTCATCCTGTATCACAAGTTTAAAATGCAACAACTCTTTCTCATCCTTTATCACAAGTTTGAAAATGCAACAACTCAAGCTACTCGAAGTCGTTAACGGAGAATATAAGACGAACGCAAATCTGGAACTCGGATGTGAAAGCGGATACAAACAAAATGGCGCGCCGCACTGATTGCTATAACGGACCAATCACAGCCCGCGTAGCACGACCCGTTAGCAACGACCGACCATTTCCGGACTACGATAATTTCGCTCGGGAAAAGTGATCAAATTTTGGAAGAGACCGAAGGCTGTGCGAAAAAAACTGGTCTAGAAAAACCGTTTAAAACACATCTTCTACTATGTTTTAGACTTCCAAATTTTGATACTAGGTACAGAAAAGACCACTCTTTCAGAAAATGCAAAAAAACAAAAATCTATTTTTTTCACCTAAATTGACATTTTAGCTGATTACGGAGAATCGCTGGTTGCGACTTTTTGTTGGTTTTGTGGTGCCGGGTCACATATTACTGTTCGGATGTTGGTTCATAATATCGATGACAAAATCGTTGAAATGTGCACAAGCTTGATCATATTTTTGTTTACCCACTAAAGATATTCACTAACATGTATAAAGCAATTCTAATTCAAGCGCATTCTACAGATAATTACTTGCCGTTATATAAAACATATGTATTACATTATTTATCACAATGAATATAATTGTACCTTACTGAATTTTAACACTTGTTCATGATTTATATAAAATATCACCAACTATTTTTCTTAAATCATTATTCTATAGTCTATACTCTTATCTATTAAAGACAACATGAATTCAAAGCAATGGGACTATTAACTCATTTATTCGCCATCACTATGAACATGACTGACAAAGAAAGCGGACAAAATATACAGTTCCTCATGTAGACAAAGGAACATCCCTTCACTGCTATTATGTAAAAATGTGTAGAACAGGTGTCACATGCATATTCACCTTTTTACATAATAGCAGTGAAGGGATGTTCCTTTGTCTACCTGAGGAACTGTATATTTTGTCCGCTTTCTTTGTCCGTTATATTCATAGTGCATGGATCAAAACCCTGGACTGCCTAATAAGCCAGTTTCGTAATGTAACCAAATTTAATGCATACGTCTTTGTGAAGTGCCTCAATACAAATTATTTCATTCACCTGATAAGAATAATAGTATTTCAATAGTCAGAATGCAACTGCATATATTAAGTTGTTGCCAGGTTGGACAAACATTATGGCTTGACCTACCTAGCAACACTTAATATATGCAGTTGCATTCTGACTATTGAAATACTATTATTCTTATCAGGTGAATGAAATAATTTGTATTGAGGCACTTCACAAAGACGTATGCATTAAATTTGGTTACATTACGAAACTGGCTTATTGTTTGGAGTACATTATCTGTTTTGGAGCAAGAAGGACATTAACTCTGTATTAAAGCCTATCTGCACTAATTTGGCCAGGAGGGATCAGACCTCCCTGCGTGGTCACTGACGGGTGGTTATCTCATCAAACCAGCTCTCAATTAACATAAGAAAAGGGGGATTATGGGGGACCAACGGGTAGTGCTTAGGCATTATTTGCTGTATAGAGGGTGCAAGTAGTGCAGACAGGCTTTAAAGTATATGAGTTTATATTATATTATATTATATGTGTACGCTATATGTGTGACAAAAGTCAACCATGGCAGACCTGTTTGTTCCACTTCATTTTGTTGACTAAAGCTGACAAAGAGTTAAGCCAACTAAAATTGATTCCTAGTTAGTTACTCATTTCAATTTCTTTTCTTTTTTCTTCATTTTTTGAAGAGAAGTGATAATGGGGATGATGAGACCCTATATTATTTGATATTTCATATTTCTACCCATATGTACAAATGCTACAGGTTCAATTTCAACAAGGTTTCTTAATTATTTCTTTTTTCATTTTCTATATACATGTATTACACTATACAGAGATTCGAAATTGCACACATTTCATATAATATTTAGTACCTACGTGCACTTGCATATATTTTTTATTTCCTCATTCTGTTAATGATTTATACTGATATTTTGTCATCTCATGTTATAACAATATAAATACAATCAAGAAGAAAATGAAAGGGCACAGATGAGTATTTAGGAAATGTGAAGTTTACTTAGCCTTATTTATACATGTATGTAGTTGATATGGGGAAAAATACATTGTACCATGCTGCATATATATCGTCATCAATATTTTGAACCGGAAATCTGTCATATATATTACTGTTCGGATGTTGGTTCATAATATCAATGACAAAATCATTGAAATGTGCACAAGCTTGATCATATTTTTGTTTACCACTAAAGATATTCACTATCTTGTAACAGGCAATTTTAATTCCTTTTCAAATGCATTCTTTCAAACGCATTCTTTCAAGCGCATTCTTTTCAAGCGCATTCTTTTCAAGCGCATTCTTTTCAAGCACATTCTTTTCAAGCGCATTCTTTTCAAGCACATTCTACAAACTATTACTTACCGGTACATAAAACATATGTATTACATTATTTATCACACTAAATGTTATCACTTATTCATGATTTTATATAAAATATCACCAACTATTGTTCTTAAATTATTATTCTACAGTCTATACTCTATCTATTAAAGAGATGATTCAGAGTAAATATGTATATAACCAACCATGAAAAATACTATGTCAATATAAAGAGACTGGCAAACATGACTGTAATTTAGTTTAGGATCTAAAAATGATACTCCACATCGTAATATCATATCACTCTAAAAATGGACTGTTGAAATTCACTGGGCAAAATTAGCTCAGACAAAACATGAAATTTGTTGAACCAGTTTCCTTATTTTCTTTACATTTCAAAATACGATTCTGTCCAATTAAACTAAAGAAACTTGTCTGTGCAGTGCTATTATATTATAATTTTGCTGTTTATGTTTCGATCCATGCTTAAGGTACAAAACTTCCATGCATGGCAAATTACTTTTTATATAAACATTATTCATCATTTGGATTGTTGAAATTTCGTATGCATTATAAGTCTGAATTCCATGTAATATACGGTATTTGTATAATTATTTATCGAGTGCAATCGTGATACAAATCATACAAATGCCACACTGTAAAAATGAAATATCAATTGCTAAAACACTATACTTCCTTTCAAATCTCACGCATCACGGATGCTACACAAACATAGTTTTACACCCGTCAGAGCACATATTCACTTGCTCAAATACCAATTTCAAAACAAGTATTAATTAAACAAATAAAAATTTAAAAAAGAGATAGATAATCTTTATCTGCCTCACAATTGGTGTACTTTGGGCAGGTGTGTTTCTAGCATTCTGTGTCTGAGTTTGAATTGATAGGAATTTCTTGGAAGGATTTCACTTTATCTTTTTGTAACTCAGGTGTTATCAATTAGCTTGCATGATAATTGTCTGTTTGGAGCCAGAAGGGCGTTAACTCATATACATGTACTTTGATACAGATTTATGCCCTTCAAGCTCTGAAAAAATTCTTTATACAAATTTTCCTAAACTCCTTGGAACAAACAGTTATATTTCATATCAAGGGCAACTTGAGAGCTTCAAAAATCACAATATATCGTCTGCTTACAGCCAGAAGGGCATTATGTAACTCGACAAAATAGCAGATGATGTTAACGCCATTTTCACTCACATCTACTGATGCACAAAGCACCAAATGTTCTATTAATGCTAAATGGAGATTCTGTACAATGTGTCCCTTTCCACATGAGATATTCATCAAGTTATTTAATTTAAAAATGAAAATCTCTTGATTTGACAATTGATTAATGGCTCTATCCAAGTATGAGGTATAACTAATAATAATCAATGATCTCATCAATTTTTTTTGCCATTTGGGGATGAAATAAATTATGGAAAAAAGATAATATTGTACAGGACAAAATTATGGAAAAAACGACACATTGTACAGAAAACATTACACAAATCGCCCTAGAGAGCAACCTAAAATAATGCATAGAATCATAAGTAAGAGAACACATAGTTTTAATGTTAATGAGAGTCATAAATTATCTCTAGCACTCAGATAAACTGTTATTAATGTGCGGCCTACAGGGTCATTCATGCCAGGCATAAATCTTGAGTGCTACTTCACATCCACTCCATGCATACATGCACGAAAGAGGTGAGATTGCATCAGTCCATGCTCACATTAGAGGCTTGTTCAGATAAGTAGTGGTAAACTGCTGCAGTTTACTGGGTATATGTGAACAAACCTTAATTGGCAAGATTTCACTATCGCATCACCATTCTAAAATATCTTGATGGAGCTTGATCTTCTGTACTTGCAAAAAATACAACACCATGTCTGAATTCTAGTATAAAAAAAGCCTGTTTGCTGTATACGTATTCTGAAGATGAAGATCAAACTACAATGTCCTGTTGAGTTGTTTTATTAAGATGTATGCTCAAGTATAAAGCAAAATTATGCAAGTTGGTCGTCAACCCAAGTACTTTTTTCCTTTTTTTGCATTACAAACTTGGCAACTTTCCTTACACAGAGATCACATATAATTAAGGTGCATAGCAAGAGGCAAGACAAATTATGCTCTGATTATATACATGTACCGGTAACTGAAAATCTTATTTTTGATTTATGAATAATTCACTTAGATTTGTATTCTATTCTTTTATCTTCTTATTATGCCCAAATGATCTCCAACTTATTTTGATTCCTGGCCCCTATCAGGATTCTGGAAGGGATTTAAGCCCCCCCCCCCTCCCCCCTCCCCCCCCAAAAAAAAAAAAATTGCGACAACAACAAACAAACATATACAAAGCACATGTACAAATAAATGCAAGAACCTCAAGACAACAAATTCCTAAAAGCCCCCCCCCCCCCCCCCCCCCGACCCCCCCAAAAAACAAAAAAACTTGATTGAAGAGACAATACCTGTGCTAATTAACTGAAGGTTTTAATGGCAAGAGGAGTGGTGGGGTGGAGGGGGGGGGGAGCAAGAGGGGGAAGAGAATTCAAAACTGTTAGTGAGACAAGTCAGACAGAGACAGACTATAGAGACAGAGACAGAGACAGAGACAGAGACAGAGACAGAGACAGACTAACATAGGGCAAGATATGGACAGACTGAGAGAGAGAGAGAGAGAGAAATAGACAGACACAGATATAGACATAAACTAACAGAGAGTGAGACAGACAACTTGAACTTGAACTGAACATACTGACAGAGAGTAAGAGAGAGAGAGAGAGAGAGAGAGAGAGAGAGAGAGAGACAGGCTGACAGAGAGCGAGAGAGAGAGAGACAGGCTGACAGAGGGCAAGAGATGGACAGACTGACAGAGAGAGAGAGAGAGAGACAGACAGACTGACTGACAGAGAGAGAGAGAGAGGGGGGGGGGGGCATATATAGGAGGGGTGAGGGCAGGCAGAAATATCAGACAACCAATGATTAGAAGAAACATTAAAGGAGAAGATTGCGGGTCAAGAGTCAAATAAATAAACACAACTGCAACAAATAAAATTCAATAAAATCAAATTATGTTTAACAAGATTCCATTCCATTAAAGGTTGGGCTAGAGGACGTGCATGGTTACTAAAACTCATCACACAAGCGGAAAATATATTTAGTACAAACCGTTGGATAAGGAGCACCCTGGGTAGATATATGGGGGAAGGAAAGACGAATAGAGTTATAAATATTTAAGAAAATAGAAAAGTTACTTGTAGGTCAGAGAGCAAAACTCAGCAAATTATTTAAATAAGCTGCAATACAAATGACATTTAAGTTTAAATGAACACAAAACTAATGGCAAGGTTTTTTAAAATTGAGAATAGCTCTACATGTACGTGCAGGAATCAAACGGTTAGTCCATCAACACTCAGTTGTTTGTTTTTCTTTTCCATTTTATCAAAGAGGATAGAAATTACTGATAGAACTATATACAGTGTATATAGAACTTTAAATTAAACCAAGTTTTGATGGTGCCACACAAAAAACCTCATCATTGCACTGATTACATACATGCAGTCAAAGTTGAATTGCATGATGAAAGCAAGGAAATTGAGAATTTATATCAATATTTATAGATGAGTGGAAATGGTACTTTTAATAGAGAGGTGATAGATATTTCACCTTTAGCTTGGAGCGAAATACATTATATCACACCTCAGTTAAGGAAATGATGAAAAAGTGTTTTTATACATGTGTAATGGTGGTTTCCATGGTGGTACGAACTACATTGTATACTGTCAATCTGTCAATCTTTCATGGAAACACACTATGTGTGTATTTGTAAATTCCTTAGCATGCTATGTATGATAACAACTTGAGAGTTTAAATCCCTTTTTATGTAATTCACTTCATTCAATCACCACACAAACAGAGTAAAAGGTAACACACCTACAAGATACAGGTATAGAATACCAAAGTATGACATCATAATGGCCAAATTGTCAAGGTTGCTGGTTCTAAACAATTTACAATTTACAAACACTGAATTTGCTCTACTCCAGCCCGTTGCTTGAATGATTTTGCTACCATGCTAACTACCGGTACTTCCATTTTCAATCCATAAATGTTTAAAGTCCTTATATATTCCATACTCTATTTACAGTAAATACTTTTTACTTTCTCATTTACATTCAGGTTCATGCAATGATGGTGAGGTTTTTTTTCCTTCAAATTTGGGGGAGGGAAGGGGGCTCACCACAAACATAAACAGCAAGCAATATGATAGGAAACGAGGCATAGATACACACCATTGGATTATTTGGATAGGGACAATCCTATAGATATGAAGGCAATAATTAAGGGAATTAGATTTGAAGATGGAAACAATAATAATAAATACTACAAATAAACATTAAAACATGAGAATTAAAAAAAAATATTATGTATACTAAAATAATATCTACACTGTAGTAATATTTCTGTAACCTTATATTAACATACATTAGGTAGTAATATCTATGTCGGGCCTTGAGGGCCATTTCCTATTTCGAGAACCATGGCAAGAGTGTCACAACTTAAGAAGTGATTTACATGTAGTTATTATGATGAGATATACATTTCAGTTTTTTATGGTTTGAAAGTATAAGTATAATTAACAAATGTTATGCTCCATTTGGCCAGCTTCCGTTTCTGTCACAGCTCACTTATTCTCTAAACTAATCACCCACTTTATGGAAAGAGAAACTGGATATTGGATAAATTGGGATATTACTTGATGACATCCTATTTCATTTTCATGAGGTATATAAAGCTGCTACAGAAAACATCTGGTCATCATTATGCTCTACATGAACAACAGATATCTTTCGACATATTTTCTTCAACATGTAGACAGAATTAACCCACTTAAAAAGTATAAACAAAATATGATCATGAACATTATGTAATAAGTATCCATGGAAACAAGGAACAAAAAACATTCTTTTTTTTCTTCAGTATCGAAAAAAGTTCATCAACTAAATCTGTGGTCTGTTTCAATGATTTTTGTGTATAATTCTGAGAGTGAGCTTACAGATGATCAAATTCACAGGAAAAATAGGAGAATACCGGTGCCAGTAACATACAGCTTGTGGGATGTTAATGGAAACAGTTTCCATGGAAAAAAGAAACACAACCATATTCATGTACCGTCGTTTTCAGTATTAAAAAAGGCCATCAACAAACTATGTGGTCTGTTTCAATGATTTTCATGTATAATTCTGAGAGTGAGGTTATCAATGATCAAATTCACAGAAAAATGTGGATTACCGGTAACGCACAGCTTGTGGAATGTATGTAATTTCAAGGACAGGTCAATTCATACACCGTAGCAAGCTACACATATGAGTTGAAACTTGAAAGGCAGTGATTCTGGGGCATATTATGCTGAAATTATTGTGAGATTATTTATTAGCATATTTTGTTATGGGTCAATGCATCAGAAGTGTATAAGCAATCCCCCTACTCCTTCCCCCCTTCGCACAATCAAAATTCAATGTATAACAAAATGACAATGAAAAAAATGAAGAAAAAAAAGTATAGCTATACTTATGGCTGTTTTGGCATGTACAGTATCATTCAAAAATATGGTTTTAATAGGCAGGCTTGCTGTGAGAGCACGCTAATAATTGGCCAGCTGTCAGCCGCTAGGCTGCCTGACACTAAACATGTACAATGTATGTCAGCTGACCTCCCTCTTCTAATCTAATTTCTTAAGATTAAGGTTCTTTATACAATGTTTCTCTGTAAAATGTTTTTCTTCTTCTATTGCTTACACGTATTGTATGTGATGCTTCTAATACGAGTTCCATATACATTTTGTTGTGTGTGAACAGGCAATCACTAAACTTGAGGAGGGATACTGGATACATACTATTGCACAAGATGATATCAAGTTCAATGCTGGGGCATATGGTGCTGTCATTAGTAAATGCACAAGGCAGTATTTCGCCTAGCATTGTCTGGCGATAGACATCTAGTACACACGGTACTCTGGCATGTAAGCACATGGCATGTTGGGAAGTGAAATTTTATTAAGTATTTTGATGTGCTCTAATTGAATTGACTGTTTAATGCAGACATCATCAGCATCAATGACAGATCTATAAATCACCATGTACACTGTATCTGATCTATCAATATTATTAAAAGATAAAGACAATTTATTTTTATAACATTATATTTGATATATATATATATATATATATTCTGCTTGCACAATGAATGGAAGCAAACTAGCTGCCAATTTATCTGTGATTTTAACTGATAATTACATAAAATGTTTATAATATCAATAACAAATTAATAAATTATAAACAAAACTTCACTGATGTGCATTGATCACAATGAACATTGTATTTTATTTTTTAATATTATTAAATAAAATATTGTTTTTAATAACAAAAATGCTTAAAACACCAATTAAAAAAACATCGCTGTCAGATATTAAATCACCATATACATCATATCTGATTTACATCACTTCTTGAGTATGCACTGATTCAGACCAGTAATTATCCAAGCTTAAGAGTGTTATTTTCTGGCCCAAATTACAAAATCTTGCTTTCCATTTATCCACGATTCTTGCACAAACGACACGCTCAATTGCTTTCACCAACAGTAGAATATTGACATACACCACTTTTCAACAAACAGACGTGAACCTTGTACCTGGTAAATCTCCATACACATGTAGCAATTAGTGGAATTAGTGTTTGCTACATGGGTAGCTGTATGATCAAGAGTAATATTTATATTTTTTTTAATTACATGTACAGAAAGGTTCACCGTTCACACAATGTTTCAGACTATATCATTTTAACAATCAAATATATTTCTGTAGTTAAATCCTTATAGGCAAGTTTTTTCTTATTTTATCTTACTCATCTGACTAAACAAAGATATCTTATTTTTATTTGCTTCAGAGTTTAAAATATGCTTTAACCACTTCTTCCAATGGATTGATTCAGCCATGGAAAGATTTGTGTACTGGTGTGAAAGTTCTTAACACAATTTCCATAGAGTAGAATTAACAGTGTAGGGACAAAAATGGAAAATTATTTTTGGCATACATTTGTTCTCAGTACACTCAATATACTTTTCTTATTTGTTTTGTCGAAGACGCAGTTGTATTCGGGAGCTTTTGAATAGCTTTTTTTAATTGTGCGTCTGTAAAGTAGCACTGTTATGAATATTGTTTTTCATGACAGCGCAGTAGACTAGTAGAGTATATTCATTATTAAAGTAGCTGCGCTATATCAATTGATCTAATAATTACTATTTTAATAATATGTGAACCAAAGAAATACAGAGTGTCGGCATTATTTCTTTCTTCTTCTTTTTTTTTTTTGGGGGGGGGGGGTAACTCTTTTCCAATTTGTATAACTTTTCACCCTATTTTACTGTATAACTGATGTCCTAAGGTACGCTGCTGAATCAGAAAGCCCTGATTGACACTGAGCAAGCAGTGATCTTTAAAAGCGACCGGTAATGTACATCTGATTAAATATGCATTAACTGCTGTACATCAAGACACACAGAACTGGGGCTAATCAACCACATTACTGCCAGTGTAATAACATCAATCCTAGGCAACATCTGTGTACCTGTTTGTAACCCAATGCATTACATGGGGGGTATATACTTACAGGCAGCATAAGCCCCCATATCAAAATGGAAAGGGAAAACAGACTGACCACCCTCCCATAACTGGATTAGTTTTAAACCACTGGAAGGACAAGTTTTTATCTGTATTAAACTCATGATTATTATTGTACTTTTTACTTGTTGAGAAAATCTACAAGAAAGAATATATTTAGAGAGATTCATCACATTATTTTAAGGCACAGAAAAGGCAAAGTCAAGTGAGAAAAAGTATTAAAAATTGGAGAAGAGGTGAGAGAAAGCAAGAAAGAGAGAGAGAGAGAGAGAGAGAGAGAGAGGGTAGAATCATAGCATCATAGATAAAAACAAACAGACAAACATTTTTTTTTTAAAGTGAGAGTACAAAATTCCACTTTTTCATGTAGAAAAAAAAAATTACTTACTGCAAATCCCATGTTTGGTTGAGCGCCATACGGTAAACCACCGCCGTGCATTGATCCATAGTCTGATGGCATAGGCATTCCGGCCTAGAATTGAGCAGTTATAATACAGTAACATGAATTTAGATTCCAAAAACAATTTTTCTAGGATACTAGCCTGAATGAATCTAGAGGCTATGTAACAATAATTAATCATATAGCACAATCAACATATATTTCAGTATGAATTAAACCAAAGAAAAACTTCAAATAATAAGGTTAAAGGTAATACAAAGTTTGGGGAAATTTTGAAAATTGGGTGGATAGTGAATCTTTACAATTTTGATAAATTTGGATGCCCCAGTGGATGTATTTTAAGCACTAAAAAAATTAACCCCTAAAACACTTCTGTTTTCGAGAAAAATTGAATATAAAAATTTACCGGTGCTCTCGGTAAATTTTGATAAATTTCAAATAGCGCCTACGGCCTTATAATGGTAGCTGCGACCATGAAAATCTCAGAACATGTAGTTGTGATATATAATTTCCAAACGGGAATAGCTAATCGGTCGATTTTAGTCAAGAAACATCGTTTCATAGCTAAATTAATATCTTGACCTTGAAAGGGAGCTATACAACATAAAGAGTTTATTATTTATAATTTCATAACTTTAGACTCGATTTCAACCGGGACAACGATCAATGAATATTGTAGGAACGCATATGCTTCCAATATGTTAATTTGAACCAAATTCATGACCCCATACCAAAACTTTGTAATACCTTTTACTAATGAATCCAACCTCTAAAAAAATGCCCTCTTGCAGGTCATACAACCTAAAATTGCAAAACTATTGACATCTTCCTGAACGTATAAACAGACATAAGTTCTCAAAGAATTTAATTCATATTTTGTTCAAAAAAATTTGGAGGACATTTACAGAAGCACTTTGGATGTGATTTCTTAAATGCAGTAATAATATGAGAAACATAATTTCTTTTTCACTGAAAGTGAGGCTTCATTTCACATGCTTCTTAATTCAATAATTATGACTAATTCAATCCAATCCAGTTAAATTCTTAAATGTCTCTATAATTTATCATGTTTGAGGGCCCTTGATATGTTTAATTGCATTTGTTTGTCAGAAAAGTCTTAAGGGTAATGAGTTGCCTACCTGTGGTGGTGCCCCGTAGCCAGGCTGTTGAGGGGGGTAACCTGGTTGTGGTGCTGGGGGATAGGAGGGTTGCTGTGGGGGGTAACCAACCCCTGGAGCCGGTGGGTAGCCTGGGGCAGGTGCAGGGGCGGGAGGGTAACCCCCTGCTCCAGCCGGGGGTGGGTATCCGCCTCCTGCTGCTGGTGGGTAACCCCCTTAGATCAAAAATTTATAATTGATTGATTAATTGATAATGGTTTTATTGAGAATAAAAGAACAACAATGCATCGCGGCCTAAAGGGCCGAATTGGGCAATGTTTTACAAATGTAAAATACAATATATAAAAACACTAATTCATATAAAAAAAACATCAAAATTAATGAACTGAACTTGAATGAGTCAATTGTTAAGAATAATATTTTACTTTGGAATTCTTATTTCTTATTATTTTATCTCCCTACCTCATTTTTATAGTAATATTAAAGCTCATCCTAACTAATGAATATTTTCATGGGCATCTGAGTGCTTCTTAAATGTCTTGAAATTTGTGCGATTTATGATTGTTTTTGTTTAATTGAAATTTGTGAGATTTATGATTTTTATTGTTTTATTGAATAACACTATTATAAAATGCCAAGTCTTACATGCAATTTCTCAAACTCTGAAAAATTTATTAATAAAATTAATAATTGGAGACAGATACGCAGAGCATTAATTATTCAATTTCTAATTAATTCTAAAAATCCACCCAATATTTGCTCATGCTTTTTCCAGTTGTCAATGGGTTGAATAACACTTAAATTTTTTATGGGTTAGTTTTTGCAACAAAAAATCATTTTTTTCTTCCCTTTATTATTAAATATTGATGAGTGAATTTTCATAAAAATTTGTTTCTACGGAAATGCAATGCGATGTAACTTTCTAAATATTTAACGAAAGGAAAAAATTGCACTCTGCTTTATAAACTTGTATTCCCTTTTTCATCAAAATCATATCAATAACAATAAAAACAACTCAAAATGTCATGGTGTCCCATTGTATCTTACCTGCTGCTGGGGGGTAACCTCCTTGTGGGGGATATCCAGCAGGTGCCGGAGCCTGAGGGTAGCCTCCTGGCTGAGGGTAGCCCCCTGCCTGGGGTGGGTAGCCGCCCCCTTGCTGGGGGTAGGGTGCCCCTCCGGTTGGGTATGGGTAGCTCATCTTTGGTGTGTGGTGGTCAACGAGCGATCAGTTGGGAAAATTTGAGATGCTGTTTTGTATGTGTTATGAACCTGTGGGAAGACAATGTACAAACTGTCAACAACAGGGAACTACACAAACTACATGTATAAATCATATTCAACATCTCCTGTGGCAATTTATGTTCTCAAATGTGCCTAGAGCAAGCCATTTGTAATGATAATAATACCATCTATTGTACCATACATGTATTTTTGTCTGGAAAAAATGTCCATCCCTAAATGTATCATTACGGCCAGGTATCGAGAATATAGGGACTCACCCATCCTTATCTTCAAATTTTTTGTCTTCATTCTACCCTGTTCTCTATTCTCCTAGCTCATTTCCTTTCAGTCTGAGTCTGTTTCCCTCCCTCTCTTAGTCTTTGGTTATTTTTTGTACTTTCTCCTCCTTCTCTTTCTCCCCCTCTCACCCCATCTCTTTTTCTCATTCACTCCCTTCCCCTCTCCCTTTCCCCCTCTCACCTCTCCCTACAAGTATTTAGCCTCTACATGTACCACCTAATTTGCATAACTCTTGATTATCCATTGTTACTCAGTCAAACACATTTTCACAAAGAGAAAATCAAAAAAATCACACTCCTCCTTGATACCAGACTAGTGTTTACATGGACCTGTTCCAGACAGCTTATAGGCCATCAATACCATTCTTGTCACAAATCAACAGTTTCCTGGATTGTATCTACTTAGCTACTGGTCTTGAGATATGATTGCCCACCTGTCTTCACATTACACCTGACTCATTCTAGTTTTATCACTATCATAATCATAATCATGATTCAGCTTGTTGAATTAAAGGTAACACTTTTCTATACAATCTACTAATGTAGGGTGACACAGGTTATATGATTTTCATAGTTATAAATACAGGGCAGTAAAAAAAAAAAACAGAATAGTATCCTTCCGAGTTCCAATATTTCAGAGTCAAATTCACTGGTACCAGGGGAAGGAGAATCTTTCACAAGGAAAATGATACCAACTTAGCGAGATTCACAAATTTAGTAGAAGGAATTTATTTTAGGGAACATTTTTGACATATTAAAGGTAAGAGCTCATATTTGTCCAGTATCAATGAAACAGCATTAAATTAAAATATAAAAACCATTGGTATATTTTTATGTCTGTGGTTAACAAGTTATTTCAAACTCCTGAAGAAAAGAAAAATATGTGTGAATATCATGTTTGTGTTCAATTTGACATTTGACCACACAATGATACATTATTCTGTAAGGAGCACTTACGGTGGACGTCTTAAACATTGTTTCACAAAAGAAATACTTGACCAATTTTGGCCAACTTGGTATCGCTTCTCTTACTAAAATAATTCCCCATTTTGTATAGGCCAGCCTGTATATCAGGCACGGCACATTTAGGTCTTACTCTTTGTTAAGGCCTTTCTATTGTAAAATGGTTCTTGGGATGAAACTAGATCATGGTATCATTAAAAGACAAGCTCAGAATCCCTTTCTCCAGGAGCTTTGCCTAGGGAATATTTAAAAGTGTCAAAGGCTCTTGACAACGTATTAATATGTATATTGCTTGATGTTTTAATAACTCAAGAAGACAAGAACATTAACAAATCTGAAAATACAAACATTCCATAACTTGCAGCAGAAGTAGCAGAATAAATAACTTTACATTCCCCAAAGAAAGGGTAATTTACATTTTGTTATGCTAAATCAAAGAAATATTATGATTATGATAAAAATATCAAAGACCAATCAAGAGATTGTTATATAAATATCTTTTTCACCTGATAAAAACTTAAATTTGTGCAGCTGACAGCAAAATCATACTATTCTTTCTATTTACTAAATTCTTTTAAAAAAATTATTAGTGCATTTAGCATTACAAAATATTTCAAATAGATGATTATACCAATCATAATTAAAGTGAAACACTTAAAGAGATTGGAAAATGACAAAAAGTGGTTTTTAAATCAATTTCTGTCTTCAACAATTTCATTCATTTTCTTTGCTTTTTGTTAAATCAATAATCATCAAACTAACAGTAGACATCTAGTCTTATTCTAGAGTTATGCAGTAATCTCAAAATGAGCATGTGAAAATAAAACGATTCCATGACATTTGCTCCGGCGACAATTGCTCCGCTGTAAATTTCATACACTAATCGAATGGCTAACTTCAACCCTGGATTCAACACTATACCCTACCCTAAACCTAACCCTAAACCTAACATAAAACCCTATTGAAACCCTAACCCTAACCCTACATCTTAGACGAAATAAAGCCCGGAGCAATTGTCGCAGGAGCTAATGTCGTGTCACCAATAAACCATCTATTTTTCTCATTTCAATGTCAACCAAAACCCAATGCTATATATGGGTAGTCATAAAAAGTAAAAAATTGTTATCATTTATTGTCTGTCATCATCATTTTTGTATATCACCATCATCCCCATCCTCCTCGTCCTCCTCATCACCATCCCGTGTCATCCTCCTCATCTTCATCAACATCAATTCACTATTGATTCATCCTGACCTTGATCCATTCAGTCACCATTTCATTTAATCCAAAACAACCCCAATTATGGCGGCAATAATGATCTATTTCTTTGTCTCTTTCTCACATATTTCTCCTCCTCTTCTTATTCTTTCTCATACCACTCTCGTTGGGTGTGAATATTGACAGCACTTTACGTGATAGGTAAAGCGAAATTTTTCGCTCGATTATTAATATTAGTCTACATTATTAGAACCGTTTTAAACACATAAAGAACTTACATAAATACAGGTATGTGGGACAACAGTAAGGTAAAACTGAGCCAGTATTACTCGTGCGTTTGTTCTATTAAACAACAACAAAAAATATCAAATACTTACCAAGTCAACCAAGAGATAGTCAATGTCTGATCCTAATGAGAAAAATGACAAGAACTACCAAAACTTTTTATTTGAAAATTATATATCACAGAAGTGAATTTCTGAGCATACGCCCTCGTCGAAGCTAACTTAATCTTATCGTTTTAGTTGACGTTTAGCGCGTGAGCGTTATGTTTGGCATTTAATCGTACGTACAACGCACGGCTACCTCTCGCACACAATATCCTGAAATATTCTATCTATACATGACAAACGGGCAAAGATTTAATAGCGCCTATACTCTATGGAAGATTTTGTTGGATTTATTTTTGTTTTCATGACTCATTTCTGCCACTGATAAACCGTTGACAGTTCTACGTCATACCACCGACAGATAGTACACACGACTCTTAGGTAGAGTTCGCTTTTGACGTCATACATGAGTTTCTTCGTATTTTGGGCCTACATTTTTCGAAATATATATATATCGATGACTGTTATATAAAAAGAATGAAAAGAATAGAAAAGATATGATTGGACAAAAATGACGTAGCTATAAAAGGCAACTTATGATCGTTAAAACCCCACACTACAGTGTCATGATAAAGGTAATCTTTATTTAGGCTTTATAATAGATCAACCATAAAATAACTTCCGCAAAATGCTTATGCTGATTAAATTTATCGAATTATATGAGTTTGATGTGTGTTTTTTTTTTTTTTTTCCTTCGGGGGGGGGGGGGGGGCACATACATGTAATTGATCGCCGGGTAAAAAAAAAAGGGGGGGGGTCTAAAAAAGTTCAACCGAACCCCCCCCCCCCCCCGTGGCTACGTACCTGATTATATTTAGACCTACTTATTAAACGAAGGCAAATAATAATAAGAAGAAGATGATGAAGAAGAATGAAGGAGATCGAGAAGACGAAGAAGACGAAGAAGAAGAAGAAGAGGAAGAAGAAGAAGAAGAAGAAGAAGAAGAAGAAGAAGAAGAAGAAGAAGAAGAAGAAGAAGAAGAAGAAGAAGGAGGAGGAGGAGAGAAGAAGAAGAAGAAGAAGAAGAAGAAGAAGAAGAAGAAGAAGAAGAAGAGGAGGAGGAGGAGGGGGAGAAGAAGAAGAAGAAGAAGAAGAAGAAGAAGAAGAAGAAGAAGAAGAAAAAGAAGAAAAAGTGTAGGAGACTGAGAGAGAATGGAGAAAGATACATCTGTGCCTTATCAAGTGACATTTGGGACTAGTGAATTTATTGTTGCCGTTTTTTTTTTGTGTGTGCTTTTGGCGTTATAATTCGTTAAGAATATTTACGCCTTTGATTTTTCTTTAAATTTTGTTTGATAAAATCAAGTGACATTTGGGGCTAGTGAATTTATTGTTGCCGTTTTTTTTTTTGTGTGCTTTTGGCGTTATAATTCGTTAAGAATATTTACGCCTTTGATTTTTCTTTAAATTTTGTTTGATAAAATTGTGGTTCATGCTCTTCGCAATTAATACATACATAACTCATAACTATATATATATTTATAATTTGGGGAGGATATACAATTAAAGAGAGTGAGATCTTAGATCCACAGTCTCTGCTAACTATTCTGTCGGACGGACCCCGGTTTGGTACTGAATCGTGTCTTTGGGTTGATGAAATGGAAAGGTCGGTCCTCAGAGACAGATCATATTTCTCCCGTTATTTCGCAGTCTCTCTCTCTCTCTCTCTCTCTCTCTCTCTCTCTCTCTCTCTCTCACTCTCTCTCTCTCTCTCTCTCTCTCTCTCTCTCTCTCTCTCTAGGCTTTCTATCTCTCTCTCTCTCTCTCTCTCTCTCTCTCTCTCTCTCTCTCTCTCTCTATCTCTATCTCTCTCCCTCTCCCTCTCTTCCCTGAGTTCCCTCTCCTTTTCTTTCCATACCCTTTAATGTCCCCTCTCCGATCTACGATTGTGTTCAATCCAATGAATTGACTTTATCGATCTTGTTTACGAATATGCCTAAAATCATATAAGAAACGCGTAGGCCTACAGGAAATAAGTGTTACCATGCATTTAAGAAGAGAAAAGAATTTATGAGACTTCTAAAACGTCTGATTTGTAACAACACAAATGGTTTACTGATGAAATGACTTGCGACTGGCAGTACGTATCTCCAAAACACAGATCACAGATATGGGTAATTCCATAAATTAAAGTAACCTACTATGTGACATTATTGGTGTCCCTTTACATAAGGAACCCACACTATTTGTGGCTCTGAGTAAAGACTTAAACAGTGGAGTTTGATTGTTAAGAAATTCTAGGTATGAGGATGCAATATTATGCTTAGAAATCATTTTACAATCTCACTCCACTATTTAGGTCTTTACTCAGAGCCACAAATAGGTGTGGGTTCCTTATGTAGCAGGGACACCAAAAATATCACAAAGTGGGTCCCTAATAATGGATTACCCATCGATGCGAGCCCATGGCTGGTCTTTAAAAAAAAAAATCGTCTCATGGTGGCGCTCTTCTCAAACCACTCTTCTGTATCATCAACAAATTACAAAAATAAACACTGTATTATCAGGGAACACACTTCACTTGGTTCTTTTCTGTGCTCGTATTTGGAATAACAGATGGTAAATTAGTAGCGTACCCGGAATTTGATCTATAGAAGGGGCTCAACATCCGAGCTACAATATTCTTGTACGATTGTCGTTCTGGTGAGGGGTGGGGCTTATATGGGAAGAATGAAAAACAAAGGATGACTGGAATAGGTGATTTGAAATATCATATATTTCTTTGCGACATGATAGTCTGAGAAGCAGAGGCGGCCCTCCCGGGAGAGCAGAGGGGGCACAGTGCCCTCCACTTTTTTAAGCACCCGAAATGTGCCCCTTTTTACATAGGAAAAGTGCCCCTTTAACTTTGTAAGAAGTGCCCATTTTAACATATGAATAGTGCCCCTTTTACATTGACAAGTGCCCCTATTAATTTTTAAAAGTGCCCTTCCTCTTTTCACCTCTGATAAGTGCCCATTTTTTTCACACGTGCCCCTTTTCCTTCAACAAGTTCCCATTTTCCTTTGCAAAAAGTGTTCATTTTCCATTCTCATAAGTGCCCTTCTTTATCTCTACAGTAAGTGCCTCTTTTCAGGTACGAGGAGTTACTCCTTTTCACTTCAGATAAGTGCCCCCTTCACCTCCGATAAATGCCCCTTTAAAATCTGATCGGTGCCTTTTTTCAGATAAAATAAGTGCCTCTTTTCAAATCTGATAATTTTCCTTTTAACAATGATACGTGCCCCTTTTCCTTTCTAATAAGGGACCTATCCCCTTTTCATAAATGTCCTTTTCACCTCTTATAAATGCCCCTATGAAAATCTGATGGGGGTCCCTTTTCCGTCGACAAATGCCCATTTCCTATTCTCATAACTGATTTCTTTCATCCCTGGTGAGTGCCTTTTTTTTGAGGGTGTAAGAAGTGCCAATTTTAACCTCTGATAATTAATCTTTGTACTTTGACACGTGCTCCTTTTCTTTTCTGATAAGTGTCCCCTTTTCTTCTCATCATTAAACGCGCCCCTCATTTCAAGCGACTAAGAGCAATTTCCCCAAAGCTCGCTCGCTACGCTCGCACGCAATTATAGATGATATACTTATGTTACTTATCAAAGGTCCTTTCGGTCTTCCGTTATGAGAATGTGCTTATAACCCCATCAGGATTGGGTTTTTCCTCTTTATGAGATGTAATTTTTCGCACTGCGACCTACCAAATCTTGAACTTTTTCCTCGCTCGCTTCACTCGCTCGCAAATAGATTTTCAGACCATCAAACCCAGCTGCAAAGTATAATGCTTAAGCAATATCTTGTATGGTGTATGAAGTGAAACAAATATTGAAATCATCCCTGATAATGTAATCACAATGTAGGGGTATATACCAATGTCTAAAAAACGTATATTTGTGGGTGCCTTTTTTTTCTTCCAGAAAGTGCCCTTTATTCTTGGTTCCCCCCCCCCCCCCCCCCCCCCCCACTTTGGGAGTCACTCAGCCGCCCCTGCTGAGAAGTATAATTCTGTTGTCATTAGGCTGAAGATGAAGACTCCAAACGTGTATCTCTCTTGTATATATGTAATGCTTTCATAACCAAACCTTTTCGGGATTCCTCTCACAAAAGAACATCTCTCTCAATTTCCCTACATCTATCCATACATTACCAAATAGTCCTCCATAATGACGAACCTGAAAAGAAAATAATACCCTTTCTCACTTTTTTTCTATATAGCCCCCTTTTAAACCCAACATTGCTTTTCATTACCATACTCACATGGTGAAACAGCAAACTTATGAATTTCATGTATCGTTCTTGTACATACAAAAATGCACTCTTGATGTACGTTCTGTGGCGCAGGGTAAGTAGGCCTATAGGGGGGGGGGGGGTGTACTGACATTATTGGCGGTCTTATTTAGTCGCCTTACAAGATACTCCGCTGTAGGGGAGTGATTGTATGGCTATCATCTCCACCCCTCCCCCTTTTCGAATCTCTCTCTTTCCCTCTCTCTCTCTCTCTCTCTCTCTCTCTCTTTCTCCCTCAGTCTCTTTCCCTCCCCCCCCCCCCCTCTCTCTCTCTCTCTCTGTTGTATTATTCTTTCCACCATTCAATAGCTCTCATCCCTCGGATGTGTTGACTCTCCTTGATCTATAAAAAACAGGAATGACACATTTTTCTACCTCAATAAAGACAGCTTTATTTATGATACATGTGTTAAAATAAGACCCTCTAAAAACATAATACAACACGTTTTAAGGGCACAATATGGCACACAAAAATGAAAAGCAGATTATAATCGACCCAACACCAATCCCGGTGTTCATTCAGCATTACAATAAATCACGATTGTTCGAGGGTGCAAAATTAGCCCCTTTTAGGTGGACAATTAAAATTGAGCAATAATATTATTATTATATTGAACGTGAAGACGAGAAAATAATGATTTAAACAAAATATATATATACATATACATAATTTTATAGAATTTCCAGAGAGGCATGATAAGGAACCCGTATTATTGGAGCATAATATACACCTATATACTCTTTTATTTTATTTTTAAAAACTTGCAAAACATGAACATTAATAGCATCACCAAACATCTTACAAAACGCTTTTAACCAACATACTCTCACTGAGAGATCTGGTGGGGCAATCAAGTGGGTTACTGCATCTCAGAATGGGTAAATGATTACAATACAGGCAATAAAAAAGAACAAACTAATACCGAAACGATATAAAAGCAAAAACAAAATTATATTTCACATCAAGGAGGTATCCATGTTTTCAGATTCAGATGATCTTAACTAGAAGAGCAATTTTGACATGATATTTCAGAATTTCGTTCCATACCAAATGAATGTAGTCACAAAAATAGATAACAAATTAGGACACTTTGCTTCACATCAATATTATTAGATTGATTTATAATAATAATAATAATAATAATAATAATAATAATAATAATAGGCATTTATATAGCGCCGTCTATCTAGACAGTTCTATTCCGAGGCGCACAAGAAAAATAGAAAGAATGAGAAAGTTTGGATGAGTGTCATAATGCCAAGTACAGGTATTGTAAAAAAAAACATAAGATTTCAGCTTTGATTTAAAGGAAGTTAAGATTCTCAAATTAAATGGTAAATTAGTCCAAAGACAAGGTTCTGCAGATGAAAAAGCCGTTTCACCGCAGGCTACTCGTGTCTTGGGGATATTTAGAAGATGCTGGTGTGATGACCTTAGGCTACGAGCTGGTGTATAAAACAAGGTTTTGTAAATAATTTGGTGCTAATTCATTTACAGCCTTCCACGTGAGGAGAAGGATTTTGAATTCTATGCGCTTGCGGATTGGCAACCAGTGCAGCTTTTTGAGAACAGGAGAATTGTGATCATATTTAGATGTCCCTGATAAAACACTGGCAGCTGCATTCTGAGCATGTTGAAGTTTGTCAAGATTGCGTGAAGTAATATTGAAAAGAAGAGCATTGCCAATATCTAATCGAGATAAAAACAAATGCATGTATAAGCAAAGCAGCAGACTTATGGTCAAGGACTTTTCGAATGCTATTAACATTATGGATGTTATGATACACTGATTGACAGATCTTCTCCACGTGTGCATCCATGCACATGTTCTCTTCAAATATAACGCCGAGATTTCAAACTGTGATTGTCAACATCAGGGTCGGCGATCCCTGTATACCATTAACAAGACCACTATTTCGTAACATTCGAATTCGCGGATTTTGTTACAAAATTAGTTTCGACAGTCGCGTCTGTGGAATTCATGACACAGTAATCATACATAAATTGCGCATTGTTATACTAGGTGAACACATCGGGATAAATATACCAGAACAATGAAATAACACAATTCGTATAATAGGTAAATAAGAATAAATATTTAATGTGTTTGTATAACTTTCATTCTTTCTCCTACATTGTCAATACAGCAATGTCTATCAAACCAATGAGTCCTTGATCAAACATAACTGTTCAATGGTTCAGTAGAGGCAAAGAAATATTTGTTTGTGCAAATTTAATGTTCTTTTATGACAGAGTAAATAAAATTGACACAATGATTGGCAGCAATGACTAACTGCATAACCGTAAAATTCCCATAAACGTTATAAAATAAAACAATGGCGAGAGATACGTGGTAGTATGGGAAGATACGCGTCAGTGTGACATTAAAATATGCAATTGTCAGGATGATGATATCAACATTTTCATTGAATACATCTGAGAGTTGTATATCATAATATTCTCTTTAAAATGGGAGCACCATCATTTTTATAGCTGTACATTACGAAAATAGGCAAAAAAGTACACAATGCAATACATCAACGTATAGACTATAGACATACCAAAGGAATAGTGGAACCTATATTCGATAGACGGCTGCAAAGTGTCTCTCACCAAGTTTGTTTTATTTTCCAACTTAAAATAACATGGAAGGTTTCCGTCAAGAGTGTAGTGGCAGGCGCGTACGCAGGGGGGGGGGGGGGGGGGGGGGGGGGGGTGTTTGGGGGTTTAAACCCCCTTTGGTATTTTTATGTGTATAAACCCTGCTAAAAAAACCCAACCCCCCCCCCCCTTTGGTTTTTTTTTGGTTTTTTGGCTGACCTAAAAAAGGTGACCTTACCCCCCCCCCCCCCCCCAGCGGAGCAAAATGTCAAATTTTCAAATTTCGAGACCAAAAAAAAAAAGTGTCCTCCTACCCCCCCCCCCCCCCCCCCCCCCCCCCGCTTATTCAGCGGCTGGCTGAGTCGAGTGCGAAATTATCGGCCCGATTTGAAAATGTTAAACCCCCCCCCCCCCTTGAAAAAATCCTGCGTACGCGCCTGTGTAGTGGTGTTTGCAGAATTTGATAAATAAACAACGAAAATAGGCTTTAATCATGGAGATTTTCTATAAAATAAAGGATGAAAATATGGTTTCATCATGGTATTCATCACACACTTCCTCCCTATAAACTGAGGCAAATGATTGCTTTGGTCACCAACGAAAAGACTAGACCTCAATCTAATGTTGTGGGTTAATGTATATTTTCCTGGAAATGCAATGGGGCGGGGCGGCGGTGTATTGTGATATGAAAGTTTTACAAAGTAACCACACTAACCCTTGAAAGACACTAAGTCGTAATCCCACATCATCATCTTTCCCAAATATTCCATCCTCATATAAGACAGTATAAACGTAATTTAAGTAATTCGCGCTGCATACATTTCTTCGTAACATGCCATAGAGGCGTCCGAAGCTTTAATGACGTCACTGGTCAGTTCATCACGTGACGGTATTTCAGATGGCGGCATGAAACCCGTCGTTTTCATCAAAGTCCCTACGAAGTTCTCCGCGTTGTCCATGATGTTGTCACCTGCGAGTTTCCATGTGTGGTACGAATCCGCCGTCGCCTCCCACGTCAAAAGCGAGTCCGAATACGGCAATCCAACGGCGTCACAGTACTTCGACATGATCCGGGCAGGGTTTTGAAGGAGATCGCTGGAGTCAACGACGACGGGATTCGGATCTATGTTCTCGCGGACGTACTTCCACATTTCGTGGTTCTTCAGGAAATAGTCCTCGACCAACGCACCGGGAGCCGCTCCCATGAGTGCGAGGTCGCAGTTCTCGTCGTCCTCCCCGCTCAGACGTCCGATTGCAACCATTTGCGCGCATAGTGCCTTGCGGTAGGACCGGTAGGCGAGGTACGGATGCCGGATGAGGAATGTGTGCTTGTAGCCGACAGGCAGATACTGGCGGAGGACCTCGGAGTTCACCGCAAGGCCGAAATCTTTGACGAATACTTGTTTACTGGTTGAATGCTCCAGAGAACTCTTCACAGCGGCATACCTGTCAAGATAGGAGAAACGGAAACTATTTATTACTTTATTACGGATTTAATTAGGAGTAATTTAAATAGGCCCGATACCCCACCCGATGTGACCGGACGATTCCATGGATTCCATGACATTTGCTCCGGCGACAATTGCTCCGCTGTAAATTTCATACACTAATCGAATGGCTAACTTCAACCCTGGATTCAACACTATACCCTACCCTAAACCTAACCCTAAACCTAACATAAAACCCTATTGAAACCCTAACCCTAACCCTACATCTTAGACGAAATAAAGCCCGGAGCAATTGTCGCAGGAGCAAATGTCGTGTCACCGACCGGACCATACAAAGTCATACAAGACATTAGTTACGACTCACGGAATAAATAGCACCGAGTCCGAATGACACGAATCGGTCAGTTTTGGTGACGGTATGGAGTCGATTTGACCGTGTCACACCGCCAAACCGATTCCACAAAGACCTCGATCTTTGGCCAAACGGGTCACAAGTGTTCGGTCTGTAGGAGGTCTGGTGTCGACCTCTTTAGTGTGACTGATGTCCAAATCTTCCCTTGGCTTGCCCCCGCCCCCCCCCCCCCCACTCAGTGTTATTTAGGGTACGCATATGCTCGTACCCTCTTTTTGAAAGCACCCCCTATCTGAGGATTGAAAGCACCCCCTATCTGAGGACTGCCAACATTTCCAAACCCCCCTTTCGCGGGCTTTTCACAGGCTTTTCCTGCCTTGGAGAACCCCCTAAATCAGGAAAATGCTCAATGTACCCCCCTAAATTCGGAATATTTTCTCAGGAGTCCAAAGAGATGAGAGAAAAAAAGAAAAACACCCCCTTTTTAAAGAAATTTCAGGGTGGAAAGTCAAATACACCCCTTTTTTTACAATTCTCGGGCCGGACTTTGTCGCACGAAAAATACCCCTTTACCGGACATTTTGGCAACACGCATGCGGTCATTCCGACCTCTGAGTGGGGGGGGGGGGGGGCGGGGGCTTGCCTCATAATTCTGAACAATCTTTTTTTTCTCGGCAATTGTGATGATTGCCGATATAATTCTATTAAAACCCTGAAGGCTGTTTTCCATGGCTATTTCTGACAATTTTGATTAACCTGTAGAATCAAATTCCAGAATGTCATCAAACCAATATAAAATTGAAAGAGTTCTGTTAAATAATACCGAATGCATCTTTTCCCCAACAATATTTACCCCCAACAGACAGACATAGTGTATTAGTTTACTTTAGCCCTCTCTCTCTCTCTCTCTCTCTCTCTCTCGAATTGGGAAAATTAACAGGATAACAATTTCAGGGCATTTCACTTGTTATAGTTATTATACTTGCAAAACAGTTATTAAACTTCCTTAGTGTAATTTAACTACCCTCTAAGAAGCCAAGGAGTCTGTTTTAAAAACCTTGTTCCGAATTCCTCTGCAAAAAAAGCCCCAATTCCAAGCCTAATCATATTGTCACGCTGCTAAAGCAACATCTGACCGAACAAACCGACAAGAAAGTATTGTTTCACCAGACTGTCGTAAGCACAAGTCTGCCGACAACCCATTGCAATGTGTACATTTAACACGCGTTTCAATGGGATGTCGGTGAAATTGTACTTATTACGGTTGCGTGGAACGATTCCCTGGTGTCCGTTTTGTTGTCGACTGGGGTATTAACCTCATTGAATCCCGATCAATACCAAAACGAAAACTCTAAAGAACATTTTCATCATTGCTATGAATTCAATTTATAAGCAGAAACTCTCCGTATTGTTGTATTTTTATTCGAAATTGAGAAGCGGGCTTATATCCCTATTCTTACGGCAGACGTTGTGGCTTTATCTCGGAGCCTAGGAACTGGGCGATGCCTCCAGCGGCCTTCTCGAATAGATCCTCGTTGTCTTCATACGAGTACGGCAGAGGCCCGTCCGACTCGATCAGTCCCATACGTTTCATTTCGTTGTGGGCAAACTGCGAGTACTGGAAGGGTTCAATCCATACTTCGTTCCCCGGGATAGCCGTGACACATTTCGCGAAGAGGTTGGATGTACAGCGAGGGGCACACCACAAGATGACCCTAGCAGACGATATATTGTTCTTCTCCATAATTACGTTACACAAACAAACCGTATACGCACGCCCCCTGGCCCTGCTAAGTATCCACGACCGTGCTCCAAAACAAAGCACACTGTCTCTTCTTGGATTAATATCTAGAAATTAAACCAATGACAACATAAGTATCACTGCATTATAAATTGCCGACATCAAGATGCGACTGGTTCACAATAGCGCTGAAAACATCGAGTTACCCTTCAAAACAAATCATTCATCTCGAGGAAATATTATGTTCAAAGCCTAGATCACCATTGTTTTCTACGTGTGATTCAATCACTCGTATCGTCTGCGCAGCGCGAAGTCACCGAGTTCCTCTGAAATATACCGCTCCTCATAACCTTCCTGAACCCATTCTGTGCCATCAAAATAAATCAATTCTGACTAGTCGATGACAAATCCAAGTTGGAAGTAAACTCAGCATCCGTGGGAAATTCAGGATTTCTTTCCATGCACCTCGATCTACACAGCCCGCGGTTTCCCAAAGCAGTACAACTAAACAGGGACAATGACGTTCAAGCCAGCATCGCTTGCCGCACTTTGCTATGGTCGAAATACGGGTCAATGCCCCACGTCCATTCTTGTTTACGACCAGTAGTCTGCTGATTCAGTCACCTTTCCGCATTCAGTTAAACAGCCTGTAATTCCTGAAATTGGTAGGCTTATATTCAGTGGCGGATCCAGGAATTTCTTACCGGGGGGGGGGGGGGGCACACAATCGCATAGATAGATAGATAAATGGTATTTTATTGCATCTTTCATAAATGGCAGTTTCACAACTGAATTGCACATGAATTACACGAATTGGATATATACATTGTAAAAAACTTACATAACATTTAGTTAATGGGGTGAAATATATGAAAAACGATGAAACGAGGCGTCAGCGGCGAGGAAGCGGAGCGACCAAGCGGGGGTGGGTCTGGGAGGGGGTCAGAACCCCCTCTTTGAGTAGGAAGCATTTGCAATTTTAGAACCACATTAGGTGCATTTTCAGGCACTTCCTGGAGTAATATGACGTAAAATTGCTTTCTCCTACCCCCTCAAAGAGTAGGGATCCAGGGGCGGATGATGGAATCTGGCTTTTTGCTAAGGGGGGGGGGGTGTTGACCCAATGACGACACGGAGCATCGTCCACGAGCCGCGAAGCGGCGAGGCGAATTTTGTTGTTGTTGCTATTTTGAACCCCCGTAAGTGATGTTTTCCTGGCATCTACTGACACAATGGAGACCATAAAAAGCAGTGCATGATAATTACGTTTTTTTTTAATCAAGTAACAGTTTGAGGGGGGTTCGACCCAATGACGATCGTGCACGAGCCGCAAGGTCCGAGCCGCGTAGCGGCGAGGCGATTTTTTTAAATTTTCCTTGGGGGGGGGGGGGGCTATTTTGAACCCCCGTAAGTGATGTTTTCCCTGGCATCTACTAACAAAATGGGGACCATGAACAGCATTTCACGATAACGTCTTTTTAAATCAAGTAACAGTTGGAGGGGGGTTCGACCAAATGACGATGCGGAGCATCGTCCACGAGCCGCGAAGTCCGAGCCGCGTAGCGGCGAGGCGATTTGGGGGGGGGGGGGGCTATTTTGAACTCCCGTAAGTGATGTTTTCCTGGCATCTATTAACACAATGGAGACCATAAATAGCATTTCACGATAACGTCTTTTAAAATCAAGTAACAGTTGGAGGGGGTTCGACCCAATGACGATGCGGAGCATCGTCCACGAGCCTCAAAGTCCGAGCCGCGTAGCGGTGAGGCGATTTTTTGTTGTTGCTATTTTTTACCTTCGTAAGTGATGTTTTCCTGGCATCTACTAACACAATGGAGACCATAAAAGCAGTGCACGATAACGTCTTTTTAAATCAAGTAACAGTTTAAGGGTGGGGGGGGGGGGGGGTTGACCCGATGACGATGCGGATACTGTGTGGGTCTGAACACAATGGCGTTTTTCTATTCACATCACATTTTCACTTGGCAGCCCAAGGTGGGGGGGGGGGGGGTGTTAAACCCCAAACCCCTCCCCCCCCCCCCCCCCAGAGATCCGCCAAAGAGATCTTTTGCAAACTGGAAGCATTACAAGTCATGTAGGCGATGGAAAAAAGTGCTTGCGAAACGGATAGAAACTTCGCGGCCACAGGGATGACAGAAAATAATATGACAATGAAACCAGCAACTGTGGCAGGATTAATGGCGGGGACAATCTGCATGCTGAAAGAGCACTTAGAATAGGTATATCAGAAAATTAATCAACACTAAGTTATAAGTATAAGTTAGAAGTTATAAAGGAGATAAAATCGTTGGTAATAGTCATATGTTCGACTTAAAATTGCATGCCCCCCCTGCCCCTTACCCGGTAAAAAAAACACCTTCTTATAATATCGTCCCCCTTTCTTTCTTTTCCCTTCTCATTATTCTCTTTTTCCGCCTTTTCTCTCCTCTCTCTGTCCCTTTCCCCTCCTTTTTCTCATCTCCCCTTTTCTTTCCTCCCTCTTTTCTTCTTCTTTCTCTCTTCCTTTTTTCTTTTTCCTCTCCTTTTTCTTTCCCCCTCCTTTTTCTCCTTTTCTTTTTTTTTGGGGGGGGGGGGGGGCACGTGCCCCCTGTGCCCCCTGGATCCGCCACTGTATATAGCAAACATACACAATCAAAGCAGACTCACCTCCCTGGTTACTGTTATATATATCTGAATGTATATGTTTCGGCACATGACCGACCTGGGAAATTATGCCAGTAGGCTAATAATTTATTCTATACAACAGACATTGAAAAGTATGATAGAATCGAACAGATCAAAGTAACTATTGTATCATTATCATAAATATTGAAATGACTATAGGCTTTTTATTAATACGCACTCGAAATAGGGCAATTTTATAACTCATTCATAGTCTCTACTACTCCAGGCCTATTCTGTTACTTGGTTTCTATGAAATAACATATCATTACCGCTCTGCATTCAAAATCAAATGTCTTGCATTATGAGTCCCGGCCAACGACTCTGTCATAAAGTAACATATTGTTGGTTAAAGGTACTATGTCCCTTTTGCAGCCAACCTCAAATTCTGTAGAACTTTGCAGGAATTATGAATATGTCATGTAAGTCCTATCTGTGAAATTTAAACGTTAGCAGTGTCCTCATATTCAAATTATGCAAGGAAACCCGTTTACTTGCTAGACTTCACTGTCAGACACTATTGAGTGACTGACTGGCCTTTTTTCTTCATTGGTAATAACATACATGAAAAGAGTTGTAAAGGGTACATTAGCATTTGTCTACATCAATAACTCGCTTCTTGTGATGGCCAAGGTTAAACTGATTGAATCTTTGCGCAGCATAAAACGTATGACCATTCGGTACAATTGTCTGAAAATCAAGACTATTACTTTTGGGCTCTATAGCCCTAAAGTCCTCAAGCAGGTTCATCCAGATACCGGCATCTCCAGTCGGGCCATGGTCATCATGGTCATCATGAACATTTATTCTATACTTGTGAATTTGCACAATCAGTGTGGGGAATGTGCACGAGATTTTTAGACTTTGAAATACACAACTGTAGTTTGGAGGAAATTCTGTATGGGAAAGAGGAGAGTAATAAAGGAAAATATCAATTAATGAATCATGTTTTAATTCTTGTTAAATATCTGATTTATAGAAATAGAGAACTTAAAAACCACCCTCTTTTAATGAAATAAAGAATAGTATAATAGGGGATAAAGTAGAAGAAAGGAAATTGGCTGCAATGAGGGGAACTCTCACTATTCATTTTTCGAAATGGGAAAACCTGAGTATTAGACAAACAATTGGAACCCAGAGCCAGTCGTCCACCGGTTAAGAGGGGGGGGGGGGGGGGGGAGGGGGATAAGGGAGAGGTCGGGTAGGGTAGAGTTAACAAAAAGAGAAAACTTTTTTCTCAGGACAACAGTATAAAAGAAGTATAAGTTGCTACATTGTTAAAACAAACATTTTGGATTATATAACTGCATATGTTTTCTTTGAAAATATGAATTTTTGTGTCGAATATGATGTATAGGAACTAACTATGTAAGTTTTCTTTGAAGTCGTTTGTAAGACAAAAATTTATACTGATTTATAATGTCATCACATTTGCAGTGAGTGTTACATATGATGATTGTAATTTGTACTATGATTATAATTTGTTTCAAGAGAGAAAAGAATAAAAACTGACCATAAAAAAAAAAAAAAATGAACAGCTTCGTCAACTAATAGTCGTTATTTTCCCACTTGAAGACATTTTCAAGCCCTACCTTTTTTTAGGGAAGTTCTAAATTAGTATTATCTTTCAAATGCAGTTGGAATTTAACTTTTTCATATTTTTGGCCTGCAAATGGGACATAGTACCTTCAATGTAGAGATGTTTGTTCTCGGTCCTTTTTAATTTTTCGAGGTGTGCATGGGTTAACAGGATAGACTATTTTACTGCCCCGACCCATATTTTCGAGATTTTCTTTGTGCTTTTGTCATACATTGGAGGGGCTCATATTTTCTGTTTGTATTGAATGATGAATAAAGCTGTTTCACAATCATAAAATACAATATTCGTCAGTATAATATTCCAGTGGACCGACAGCATCATAACTATGAAAGAGTATACACACACACACACACACACACACACACACACACACACACGCATTCTCACACGCACACCCAAATACGTTTTAGATATACACCCACACAAGGCCCACATAATTATATACATTGAAACAAGTATCTAATTGTTTGAAACGGAATTGTTAATCAAAGTGAAGAGTGAAAATAAAATTAACCTACATTTTGTTTCTCTTGTCATTGGAAGAAAAGAAAATACTCATTAAAATATTGCCTTTTTCATCGTGATACTATGTGCTGCGTTATAAACAAATACGTTTCAAAATCTGTATGAATCGAAATGAGGTCGTGTTTTTACACAAAAGAAGGAGTAGCTGCAAGAATAATATTGTTTTGAACCTCACAACTTGCCCTATATTAATTATCGACCTATTTTTCTCTGTACCGGTATGTTCGCTCGTAGCAAGTCACGAGATTGCTTACATAGTTTACGTAGCTACACAGTTGCCCTCAGAATTCTGAATGAAATTTTACTTCTTTTAAAGAAATGATTGTGACAATGTGATTTATTCTTGCTTTCCTAACACCAGGGGGAAAGTGAGAAATTTATATCATCAATAGAAAAAAACAATAACAGGATAGTGAGGCAATGACGTCAGGCGCGGATCCAGGGGCCGAGCGGGCCTTGCCCCCCCCCGCAACAACAACAACAAAAGAGAGAGAGAGAGAGAGAGAGAGAGAGAGAGAAGGAAAAAAAAGGGAAAGAGGAGAGAAAGGGCCCTTGCCTCCCCCCCCCCTAAAAGGAGAGAGAGAGAAGGAAGGAAAAGGGAAAGAGGAGAGCTAAAAGGGAACAAAAAAGAGGAAGAAGAAAAGAAAAGGGTGAATAGAAGGGAAGATCAGTTGCTGTAAATCCCGCCAACAACGTGCGGAGCGGGGTGGGGGCCAAAAGGCCCTTTCCCCCTCCCCAGCCAACTTAAAAGAGAGAGAAGGAAGGGAAGGGAAAGGGATAGAGGAGAGAAAGGGAAAGAAAAAATGAGAAAGAAGAAAGGTAGGGGAGATCAGTTGCGATTTTTTCCCGCCAACAAGGTGTAATTGGGGGGGGGGGGGGTGGGCACTGGCGTACTGATAGAAGGGGGGGGTGGCTTGGGGAAATAAAATTCAGACGTGGTTTATTTCTAATTCCATTACGGTGGTTTACAAGTAATGCTAAAATTACATAATTTTCCGAAATTTGTCCTCACTTTTTAGTAAATTAATTACACTTTTGTATGCGTTTGTTGGAAAATGACAAATTCCTAAATTTACAGCCAGGCAAGAAATATGCTTCTTGAGATGCCTACATGTCAGGGCCCGCAGAACGGTGGGGATCGGGAGCCTCGAGCCCCCACCCCCTCCCACTTAAAAAAATTATATTAAAGAGAAATAGAAAGAAAGAGAGCAAGAAAGAACGAATAGCGCCTGAATGACGGCACAGACTCATGAGTGAGTTGCAAATTTGTGTTGTGATTTTTTTCATGTTATTACAAATTCAAAACTTTCTTATTAGTTATCCGATTTTGCAAACTTTTAGTTTGATTGGTTTGTTATTGATTTTTGGAGTGGACTTGCCCTTCAAGTCCCTACAACCCCTCTCTGTCGATTCCTTCCTTTGCTGTGGGTTAGGAACATGAAACATCAGCCCCTAAGATTGAATTGAATTGAATTTTGAATTTATTAACAACAACACATCACAATAATGACAGTACTTATGAACAATCATATAATGCAAAGAATAATACTGATACATGTATACATAACATGAGAGTAATGTCGATTGAACAGTAATGGTTTTAAAACGATATTTTTTAGACATACATCTGCATACTATTAAATGTACAAAAGATATATACGTAAATATGTATATTACTATGTTTAGGTGAAGTTGTTAATGGGAACTAGCAGTTAGCACAAGTGCTAGTCGAGCCTAGTTCCATTCTTTGGCAAGATTTTTTTTCTGTTAATTTGTTTTTACATATGAATGTAAAACTTGTTTGTTTTGTATTTACATATATACAATAAAATAATACAATATCTTGTAACTTTTTTCTTTACTAAAGTGAAAGAATAAAAATAAAAAAGCTTAAGCGTAAAAGCATTATAATGAAAGAAGACAAATCTTTGAAGAAATAAAATCATCAATGTGTTCATAAAAATGAAAAGGATGTATTAATAAAAATAATCATACACATGTACGTACATGCACAAATCCTGTAAAAGCTTAAGGCCGCTATAATCGTTAACAAGGAAGTGTTTACATATATAAAAGGAAGACAAGGAAGAGCCCACGTCATTTACATAGAAGGTAGGTGGAAAGATGTCTCCGAAAAGATAACCTTGATGTTTTTAATCTAATTTCATCTGGCAGATGGCAACGCTGTTACACCCCGCCGCCCCCCCCCCCCCCCCCCGTGAAACACACACAGGCTACGCCATCTGAACTACTGTCGGTAATATGTACTTGCACTAAGGGAATACTGCAGGGAGGGTCGGCCGAATGGCGCAGCGTGGTCAGACTGATTGGGGGGGGGGGGGGTGGGCCCGGGATGCGCATATTTTTTTTTTACACAACTGTTTAGCCAGTTCAGTCAAGTATACTGTGTGAATGACTGGAGACAGAGTCTAACATTACTCTTCTCGGTATTTTTTGGATTGCTGGAGCTGTACATACTCGGGCGTGTAGCTAGCAGCGGCTGTGATTAGCTACATTAATTGTAGGCAGGGGGCGGCGATCCTAGAGGGACGGGGGACACGTCCCCCCGGAAAATTTGAAAAAGTGCAAACAATGAATAGCAAATACTGACTAAAGACTGCAACACACTTATAAATACATTAACAAGACAGAACCTATAGTCTGGCAAGAGACCGAACAAAAAATTACAATTTCCCGAATGGCCAAGATTCGGGCGGTTTAGAGATTTACCGGAATGCACCCCAGGGAGTGAAGAATGTCCAGACATTGTGTGCAGGGGGTGTGGGCAAGCCTGAATCCGATGAACGGGGTAATAATGTATGTATTTCTGTAAAGCGCTTATAGATATCGTGGATGTATATATAAACCCAGAATACTCTCCTGAACACAACTAATTAATAAAATAACATTGATCCTGACTATGATTATTATTATGTTTTTTGCCTGCAGTATTTCACATGCCTTCCCTCAGTTTTTAAAGACACAATTCCTATAAGCTAGCTAATTGTTGGTGTATGAAAGGAGTTCCCTTGTCTCGTGTGGATTGGGAGTAAATTATTGTGATAAACAAATGCTTTTTGTGTTCAAAAGATGGGAGATAGTTACTGAGAAAGCTCATAAATTTTCCTGTTTTAAAGCCATGCTGTCCCCTCGAGCGCCATCTCAGGTCAGCTGTAGCAGTATGGTTGTCCTGTAATCGTAACAGAAAAAAAAGGAAATCGGATGATCAGGGACATGATAGAGATACAGTCAAACCTGCTTTAGTGACCACCTGTCTACAAAGACCACCTGTCTACAAAGGCCACATTTGTTGTTTCCCTTGAAAATGATTTCTCATTGAATCATGTACTAAAGGAACCAGTCTACAAAGACCACCTGTCTACAAAGGCCACTTTTTGTGTTTCCCTTGGGCGGTCGCTATAGACAGGTTTGACTGTAATAGAGTGGGGTGAAGATGCTGTGAATAAATAAGGACCCAAGCAAAACACACGCCTCACCAACATTCCCCGTCACACCGCAAAACTAATTCCACCCATTTCGAGGTAGTGTAATTATTTCTTCGGTCTGTAAAATTAATGTGGGTGAGGAGTCGATCTTGTCAGATTGACTGAAATGTATGAAGTGTCGAGAATCGAGCGGATTCGGATTTGGTGTGCATGAGTCTCTATTGAGGCTAATAGGGACTTTTAGATTTGCGTGGACTAATACGTGTGACGTCCATTCAAGGCAGTGCTTTAAAAGGACGTCGAGCGTTGCATAGACCCATTGTCTTCGTGCGAATCTAAAAGTCCCTATTAGTGCGGTATGGTACGTATAAATCCCGTAGCATATTTTTGCCAAAGATGATTTTGTTGTTGTTGTTTTGGCTTCAAAAGGGTCCCAATGGGCCCAAAATGATGGGGTTCAAACTTTCAGACCCCTCCTTCATTTCCTGGGGGGTTCCATACTGGGCGCCAAAATGGCTTATATAACGCGCAATAGGGAAATTTGGTGTCTTCGGGAAAATTTGAACCCCATCAATTTCTGATAGCTTGGACCCAATGAATCCAAAAATGCACCCCCCCCCCAAAAAAAAAATCAACTTTGATCAAAAAATCAAACAGTCCTACGGGAGCTGTTTCAGTGACATAACGTACCACACTATAAGAGGAATTATTCCTTTCTACCTTTCTTTCTTTCTCTCCCTTCCCACTCAGTACTCAATCACGACCACCCCTTTCTATTCAGTACACCTACAGGTTTTTAACCCCCCCCCTGTCTAGTCGACTTTCGTACAATCACAGTAAACCTACGACACACCTGAATGGGCAACAATGGAACCCACTTTTAGTCACAGTGAAGGAAACAAATCTGAAAACATCATGTACAAAAGTACGTAGGTGGGTAGAGAATATTTCTTCCACCATTCATAGCGATTTCTTTTATTTTCGTTGGTTATGTGCATTCATCTAGAAAAGGAGAATAAAAAGGGCACCATACCGTGAAGGTCCCTGTTTGGTTGTCTATAGCTTCCATTGCAGTGACGCTGCCATTTTGATTTTGGATATTACAGAGTCAGGACACGGTACAAGCTGACTTCGTCACCTAACTGAAATCTCTCACTTTTAACTGTAATTACAAAAGTCGAGGGAAATTTCGTCAAAATGGCTCGACTACTTTGCCTTGTCGTTTTTGTCACTATTGTTGCCGCCACACTAGCAGCACCGGTAAGTTTTTTATGATTAAATTATGTCGTTTAACTATTACATTTTGAGAAATATTTAGGTGATTATAAACAATCAATATTTTTGACGAGTGTCTTTTTGATGTCTGAGACTTGCTAAGAACTTGAAATCAAATTGCGTTACGTTTTTTCATAAACCCTTTCCTGTAGGAGTGAATAGGAAATATATGTATATATAGTTTTTATTTATTTATTTATTTATTTATATTTATTTGTTTTTATTCGATTTTATTTATTTATTTATTTATTTTTTATTTTTTAAATTATTTTTAAAATGTATTTTATTTTTTTTATTTATTATTTTTTTTTTTTTGGGGGGGGGGGGGCGGGGAGGGGATGATTTTCAGAGTGATTTGATGATATACACTGCATTGACCAAAGGGGGAAAAAGGTGCTAATAAGAGCAAAATATTGAGCAATCTCTGTCAGGTCATCTCATTTTGGTATAATGAAAACATAGACGTACACATACATGCACTAACTGACCGCACTGAGACCTTACCAGACCACCCCCCCCCCTCCCCGCTATGACCTGACTGATGGATCCTGTAAATTACCAACACAGCAGCAGATATACAAGGAGAAGGATATGATATATTTATACATATATATATTATGTATGTAAGGAAATTACATATGCAACAGCTTTGGCAAATCTCGTGGAAGTAAATGTAGCACAAAAGGCAAGTCTACTCCAAAATTTAACTTTCTTTCAATAGAAGCAGAAAAATGAGACAAACCAATCAAAAAAAGTTTGAGCAAAATCGGATGACTAATAAGAAAGCGATGAAAAACTTTGAAAAATCACAAGACGTATTGGCAACTCCCTCGTGAATCTGTGACTTTATTGCCTCACTATATATTCACTAATTGTTTTCTTCATATTGATAATACAAATTTCCAACTTTCCGCCTAAAAATCTTATTTCCTCACACCAACATCCAAATGAAAATGAAAATGAACTTTCTAGACATGGGATTTTCTTTCTGAAATTCAGATACCGCCCGCCAAATGACTTTTTGATATCCTTTCTTCAAATTGTTTTTAATCACTCATGCGTGTAATATGCATCATATGAGTTCCTTCAAATGAAAGAGGATGGTCTAAGCTTTACATACATGTGTCATTTATTAATTATAATTGTGATTAAGTTATGATAAAACATTGGTAATTCTCGGTTTCGTTTTTTCTGGGACGCACTGTAAAGTAATTTTTCAGATAAATCATGGAAAATGTGAATTTTGATAAACTATTTATATAAAAATCAATGATTATGAATATACAATATTCAGAAATAGTATCGATTCTTCAAACTTCATCAACGATTTTGTGAAATGTCATGCACGCAATATGATACAAAACATATAACCTGAGCAAAGGCATGGGGAACATCAAGGTTTGGGGATAAAAAGGGAAATTAATGGGCTAAAATATATATATATAAAGCAGTTGATAAATAGTGAGTGAATGATGCCCCAAATTGCAATTTGGTAGTGATTTTCTAAGTTCCATAGTTTTTCATAGTTTAACTTTTGGAGTGGACTAAGCCTTTAAATCGGAGTTAACCATTTGCTTTCTTCTCGTATAGTTCGTTTGCAAAGGTTGAAAATGTCTCTGCCATTAGAGAATTATTGAGTTCACTATTGCCATCTTCCATTGTAAATATATATAGATTATCTGATAGTAAGTCCACGTGCTAGCATATAAGATGACACAAAACAATGATAAAGAAGAGAAGTTTCATGCTTAATTTGGTCATGAATTTTCAACGTACATTACGGGTTTTTTACGTCAAAATCCGAGACCTTATCAAACATGAAACTTCTCTATTTCGTCAGATATATATACATAAATTAAAACACATCTCGAATCCAAAGCTTATTTACAAAATTTTAAGAGACATGAATATCGTGTAGTCATACGCTGTGTTATTTCTCTTATTTCATGTACAGATGCGAGAGATGTCGGAAAAGGAAGCTATTCTCAGAGAGTTGTTGGAAGATAAGAAGATTTGGGATTGGTTATATGGCGATGAAGAAACCACTGCCGCAATGACCACAGCACAACCAACAACAGAAGCACCACAACCACTCCCAATAATCTCCGTTGGCGAAGCATCAAGTCTCACGTCCAATCGGATTTGCGGCGCGGCACAAACCCTGTTCCCTGTCCGGAACGAAAAGGTGGAGTCCAAACGCGACCTGGTGATCAACATGATCTACGATATCTGTCTGCCATCGGTCGGAATCGAGGATCTTGAAGCCTTTGGAATGATCCTGGACTTCCTCCGTATCGGAGAAGAAGAGGACATCGAACGCTTGGTTCCAACGACGCCCGAGCCGGAGCTCGAGACGTTGTCGTCGGCTTGGAATACGCTGATCGATAACCTAGCCGAAGCTCAGAACAACGGGGAAACATTAGAAGACGAGGAAGATGTCCAAGAAATTATAGTTGTACCTCCTCCTGCAGCTGGCGAGAATATTGCGGACACTGATGCTGACGCTGATGCTGGTGCTCCTGCTGACGCTAATGGTGATACTGGTGCTAACGCTGGTGCTGATGCTAATGCTGACGCTGGAGCTGACACCAATGCTGACGCTGGAGCCGACACCGATGCTGACGCTGGTGCTGATGCCAATGCTGACGCTGGTGCTGACGCTAATGCTGACGCTGGTGCTGACGCTAATGCTGACGCTGGAGCTGACACCAATGCTGACGCTGGTGCTGACACTAATGCTGACGCTGGTGGTGACGCCGTTGCCGACACTGGCGCAGAGGCTGGAACTGGTGCTGACGGAGCTGATACTAACCCTGCACCGGCTAAGCGCCTCGAGGACGCAGAACTTCTGAGTATGCTTCTGAAAGCCATCGAAGTGAACCAAGGCGGGCTTTAGAATGAACATTACTAGAACTTCCTTAGATATCCAACCTTTTTAAATAATTTTGAAAGATAATCGTTAAATACAAAACCACAAAATTAATGCTTCGTGGATTAATTACTTGCAATAGTGATGTTATTCAACTCTTCCATAACTTGTCATTTTCTTGTGGGGGGGGGGGGGCATATTTTGTACTACAAGTACACACCGTGTAGATTAATGTCCTGCAAAGGACAGTAGTACCGCGGCAGAACTCGAACCGCAAACCGTGAATTGTGATTCGCAGTCCGGTAATGTATCCACAAAACCTCTGACTAATAATATCATCGAAAACTATTTTTGTTTTTTCGTTGAGTACCCAATGTTTTACTTTTGCTACAAGACAATCAACTGGACTGGTAAACTTCGAATAATTCGCTTTATTTGGGTCTTTTATATGTGTGTGAATCAATCAATAACTCATGACAGGATCTAATCATATAGTGCCATATTGTTAAACTGTTAAACTCGATATAATTATGCACATTTTTGGAGGGAGCGTTTCACCTTCGATATTGGAACATGTTCGTTTATACGATTTTAGAATGTAGAAAGATTAGAATGTATTGTAAATCATATCAATAACGATTGAATAATCTACTGCGTTGTTTTTGCTTACAATGAGATATAATGTCTTTTAAATTCAATCATTATATGTTTTTTTTTTAATATATCTATCAAAAGCACGAGATAGGGAAGCAATATATTCAGTACTAATAAGGTGTTTTCAAGGTTTTCTCAATTTCATTTGTTTTTATTGAAATAAAACGAGACGAAAATAATCTTTTTGAACTAAATATGATTCGATTTTGCTGTGTTTGAATACAAATCCAAGTTACATTGGCGTAGGCCTTCAAGTAGGAACTGATAAACTAGGAATATTGAGAAGGAGAGCGATAGGTAGCCCTTCAAAACATTGCTAGGGGCTGTCGGGGGGGAGGGGTCATTTCCCCTTAGAATGTGAAATATCTAAGCCATTTCTTTACATAAAAGTGGGTTTATTAATTAGTTTATATAGATTTGCAAATAGTTTGGGGCGGGAGGGGGGCTAAGCCACAACCCCCTGCTAAAATTGGATACGCCATTTGCAGAATGTGACGCGTAATTGTGTAAACTTTAACTCGTTTACCTATTGAAGTTTCAAAAGGTCACAAGTCAGTGCTTGTTGTGCCATTATTTGTTCTATTCATTTACACATAGAGCAGTTAAACTCAGGCTTGAATAATGAAAAGGATTTCTTTTTAAGTATAGACCCAGCATGGAGGTTTTTGCATCAAAGGGTGTTATTGAGTACAACATGAATACAATCACAGTAGTGCAAATAGTGGGTTGGTTCTAAACAGAAAGAGCTGAGCACTCATTGTTAAAAAGAGTTTAGGCAGAACGATTGGCAGAGATTGGAAGAAGGTTAAAGTCAATGATACAGATAGAACAAGCTGATGTAGAAAAAAAAACACACAGATATATTACGCGGGGTATAGATACGAGGCCGCAAAGAGAGAGAGAGAGAGAAAGAGAGAGAGAGAGAGAGGGAGAGAGAGAGAGAGAGAGAGAGAGAGAGAGAGAATGTCCCGAGTGGCCAAGATTCGCGCCGTTAGGAGAATGGCTGGAATGCTCCCAAGGGAGTGGAGAATGCTCATGTATTTCTGTAAAGCACTTAGAGGCGGTGTCGATGTATGAAGCGCGATATAAACCAAAAATACTATCCTGAACTTTGATCCTGACTATGATTAATATTGCATGCTTCTGCTTGCAGAATTATATTTTACATACCTTCCCTCAGTTTTGGAAAAAAATGTCAAGACACCATATAAGCTTATAATAAAGGGGCCTGTTGGGGGGTATGAGAGGAATTCTCTTGTATCCTGTGTATTGCAAGAAATTACTGTGATAAACAAATACGTTTTGTGTTCAGAAGATAGAAGGGTATAGTTACTGAGAAAGTTCATTCATCATGATTAAATCCTACGGTCCCCTCGAGCGCCATCTCAGGTCAACTGCAGCCGTAGGTTCTAGGACACCTACCCCCTGGACATCAAACCCCGGATAACCACCCCCAGACAACTACCCCCTAGGACAACTACTTCTAGGGAAACCACCATCTAGGACGACTAGCCCACAGGACAACTACCCCCGACAACTACCCCTAGGACAACTAGCCCCGGACAACTAACCCCTTGAAAACTACCCCCTAGGAAAACTACCGACGGACAACTACCCCTAGACAACTACCACCTACGACAACCATCCTCTAGGACAACTACCCACGGGACAACTTTCCTAGGGAGTAGTTTTCCGGGGGTTAGTTGTCCGGGGGTCGTTGTCCGGAGGTAGTTGTCTTAGGGGTAGTTGTCTGGGGGTAGTTGTCCTGGGGGTAGTCCTCCTAGAGGATGGTTGCCCTAAGGGGTAGTCGTCTTGGAAGTATTCGTCCGGGGGTATAGTTGTCTTATGGGGTAGTTGACTGGGGTGGTTATCCTGGGGGTGTAGGTCCAGGGGATAGGTGTCCGGATACGGCAGCAGTATGGTCCTGTAACTGTTACAGAAACAAAAAGAGTAAATAAGATAAGAGAGTGGGGTGAAGATGCTGTGAATAAAAAAGGACCCAAACAAAACACACACCTCACCAACATTCCCCGTCACAACGAAAAACTAATTCCACACCGAAGTCGAAACTGGCCGATACTTGGCTATTTGGGGTAATGTTTTTTTTTTCGTTTGGTATAGCTGTAGAAGTGGTGTCGTCTCGTTGGCCTTCCTGAAATATGACGTGTCGAAAATCGGGCGGGTTCGGTTTTGGTGCGCATGCGTCTCTCTTGCGGTGTGGCTATGAGGAATTATTCCTTTCTATCTTTCTTTCTCTCTCTCTTAAAGGTACTATGTCCCATTTGCAGGCCAAAAGAATAAAAAGGTAAAATTCCAACGGCATTTGAAAGATAATACTAATTTAGAACTTCCCTAAAAAAAAAGGGGGGGGGGGGGGGGCTCGAAAATGTCTTTAAGTGGGAAAATAACGACTTTAGTTGTCAAATCGACTTAGGAGCTATAGAGCCAGTAAGTAATAGTCTGATTTTCAGACCATTGTACCGAATGGTCGTAGGTTTTATGCTGTGCAAAGATTCAATCAGTTTAATTTTGGCCATCACAAGAAGTGGGTTATTGATGTAGACAAATGCTCATGTACCCTTTACAGCTCATGTTATGTATGTTAGTACCAAAGAAGAAAAAAGCCAGTCAGTCACTCAATTGTGTCTGACAGTGAAGTCTAGCAAGTAAACGGGTTTCCTTGCATAATCTGAATATTAGGACACTGCTAACATTTAAATTTCACAGATAGGACATACATGACATATTGATAATTCCTGCAAAGTTCTACAGAATTTGATGTTGGCTGCAAAAGGGACATAGTATCTTTAATTCCCACTCAGCACTCAATCATGGCCACCCCTTTCTGTTCAATTTGTTTAACCCACTCTGTCTGATACAAACCGCATCCCAGTCGACTTTCGTGCAATCACAGTAAACCTATGACACACCTGAATGGGCAACAAATGGAACCCAAACACACTAAAGAAAACATAAATCTGAAAACATCATGTACAAAAGGACGTAGGTAGATAGAGAATATTTTCCACCATTCATCGCCATTTCTTCATTTTCGTTGATTATGTGTATTTTATTTTATTTATTTATCTATAAGTATTTCGCATCTGTAGAGTATCATGTTCAGCTACATAATCATTACGAAACATTGTTAAAACATTAAAATAGGCTGGTTTACAACAGGGCTCTGTTTAAAAACAACATAAATATGACAATGAACAAATAATATATAGAAATAGCAAGGGTAACGAAGGCTAACACACACACGCACACCCGCACACACATCATCATCATCATCACAATCACGCCTACTTCACATGCACTCAGGTATAGCTACTTTTCCTGTTTACCACCTGTTTACAAAATACAAATTACATTAAAATCAAGCATAACATAAATTTGACCTCACTGCAACCCCCTCCTCCACCTTCATAAAAATGAGCTATCAATTGCCAGGTTTGATGAGATGTTTAAAAACGGCTAAGGACTGGCAGATCGGCATTCATCAGACAAACAATTCCATTCATTTATACTAACAGATACGAATGTCCTCTGATAATATTGAGTTTTACATTAAGTAAAAATAATCTGTTAGTGCTTCGTGTTACACGTGTAGAAACATTGTCATTAAGAGCAAATTTACTACATAACTGGGATGGTGCTATCCCACTTACACATTTATACACCATGCATAATATTGACTTTTTAAACAGTTCTTTCAGAGTAGGCCAGGCTGGTATTCAAAAAACTGTTTCCGATTAAGTTTCCCAAGTATATCCACTTACAATATATGCTGCTCGCTTGCGTAGCGTGTTTAATATTTTGTAGTTTGATTCAGATGAAGATGACCAGACGGCTGAACAATATAATGCATGGGGGAGAACAAATCCCCAGTATAATCTCTTAAGTTGATCAACATTAAATACATACTTATTTCTTCTAATCAAGCCAAGTTATTGTTTCATGACTTTTGCAACAGAAGTACCATGGGATTTGAATGTCAGAGTATCACCAGTCGTCACACCCAGACACTTATATTCAGATATACATTTTAATAAAGTACCATTAATTATAAGAGATATTTTTGTTATCCTGCAAGGTATATCAATCGTTTTCGAGAACCAAGAAGCATCACTTTCGTTTTTTAATCATTTTAATACCAATCTATTCCTAGATGTCCACTTGTAAACTTCATTCATTGCAGAATTTAGTTGACTTTCAACCGATTCTAGATTACTACCGCTAACATACTGGGTTGTATCGTTAGCAAACATGACAACTTTTCCTGACTTTATACTAGAAACCAAATCGTTAATATGAACAGGGGCCCTAAAACCGAGCCTTGTGGTACCCCAGAGATAGTTAACCTTGTATTGGATAATTTACCCCCTATTTCTGTCAATTGATCCCTATTATAAAGCAAAAGTAAGATTTAAACCATGCCAATGCATTCTTAGAGCATCATATTATAGAAAGTTTGTTAAGTAATACATCTTAATAGTTAACAGAATCAAAGGCTTTACGCATCTCAATAAACGCTACTTTAGTTGCCTAGTCATCAACCATACACAATACCGTGCGTCCCAAAAAACTATACACTTAATTTGAAATGGCTGCCGAATAAGAAACATATGATTCTGGGGGGAAAATGTTATATGTATGGAAAGCTCATAAACTCAACTTTCATATGACACCAAAAAGTCCGAAAATAATTCATGCTTGGGTGAGCACTGCTCACTTTTGTAAAGGGTATTGACATTAGGTTGCGCAGGAATTAGCCTTCCAATTTGTGAGAGGTAAATCCTTTGGAGCTTACAAAATTGAGGATGATATGATACATTCATGATTTGCTGAGTGAATTTCATGGTTTATTAAACCAAAACTGTATGCATGAGTGAACAGGAATTGCGTTTTTATTGTAGCATTGTAACTTTCCCTGGTAGACTCAGTGGTGTGTTCATGGGAGTCAGGATGGGGTGATGGTGCATGTTGTAATTTCCATGTTACAAACTGTTATTTGTTTACATCTGTGACTTTGAAAAAACCTTCACCCCACATTTCAGTTATTAAAAGATTAGTTGAACATCTCATTGATATACTTAATACCCAGGTAGGGATTATGTAGATTGATTATTCAAATACGGTTTGTTGAAAAAAGGAATGTCACAGATGTTGGCAACTTATTCTTCAGGTTACCCATTTACCCATCAACAATTTCAGGCTGATAAATTTCAACATCATTAATATTCAATTTAATTTATGGAAAGCTGACCAGTGCCAGAGGACAGTTGCTTTAAAATTGACCATAATGCACCAGGATCACCAGACTTATCTTGCAATAAACCCTGTATATACTTTTGTTTAGATTGTTTAGTTAAACTTGTTACCATGTTTTTTATTCTTCGAAATTCATTCCATAAACTTGAGGAGTTAAACTTTAAAGCCTTGTAATGGAGATACTTTCTTTTGTTTATCAATGTATTTATTTCACCTGTAATCCAATGAGAGGGTTTTTTCCTCATTCTTTTGCGTTTATAAGGCATATGTTTATTAATTACTGACATTACTTGACTGTAACACAATTTCCAAGCTGAAGAGATAAGTTGAATAGATCGTTGACAACATTCTTGCTGCTTAAATTCTTTTAAGTTTCTGAATTTGATATCGTCAACAAATGATCACTAATGTGTGTTTTTATGACACCTGAAATACTGTGATCATCCGGACATGTTGCATAAATAAGGTCAATAAGGGTTTTAGAATGCTGGGTCACACGAACCTTAATCAACTGTGACAAAAGTGATCCCTGCATTACAGATAAAAGAGATTGTGACGATGAATCGACATTGTCAGAAAGTTGGTAAGAGTTAAGGTCCCCCTATACAATCAGTTCACAATCAAAATCAAGAGCCTTACCATGCCTACTGGCTACTTCTATCTTTCCTTAGTAAATCATAACCATAAATAGGCACCTGGAAGTAGGATAAAACGAGCACCATACCGTGAAGGTCCCTGATTGGTTGTATATAGCTTCCATTGGCACAGCATTTTGCTATTGCAGTGGCGCTGCCATTTTGATTTTGGATATCACAGAGTCAGGACAGGGTGCAAGCTAATTTCGTCACCTGACTAAAATCTCTGACTTTTAACTTTAATTACAAAAGTCGAGGGAAGTTTCGTCAAAATGGCTCGTTTATTTTGCCTTTTCGTTTTAGTCACTATTGTTGCCGCTACACTAGCAGCCCCGGTAAGTATTAATATTAGATATATTATGTCTCTTAACTATTACATTTTGAGAAATATATATGGGATCATAAACAATCCATATTTTTGACTGAATCTATTAAAAGCAAATTATTTTTGGAATGGACTTAGCCTTTAAATCGAGGCTCCCCATGTACTATCTTCTCTTTCAACTTGTTTGCAAAGGTTGAAAATGTCTCCGCCATCAGAGAATTATTGAGTTCACTATTGCCTTCTTCCAATGTAAATATATATAGATTATCTGATAGTAAGTCCACGTGCTGGCATATAAGATGACCAAAAAATGATAAAGAAGTTTCATGCTTTATTTGGTCGTGAATTTTCTACGTACATTACGGGTTTTTTACGTCAAAATCCGAGACCTTATAAAACATAAAACTTCTCTCTTTCGTCAGTTTTATATATAGATATATATATAGGTCAATTAACACATATCTCGAATCAAAAGCTTATTAACAATCTTTTAAGAGACATGAATATCGTGTAGTCATGCACTGTGTTATTTCTCTTATTTCATGTACAGATGCGAGAGATGTCGGAAAAGGAAGCTATGCTCAAAGAGTTGTTGAAAGATAAGAAGATTTGGGATTGGTTATATGGCGATGAAGAAACAACTGACGCAATTACCACAGCACAACCAACAACAGAAGCACCACAACCGCTCCCAATAATCTCCCTTGGCGAAGCATCACGTCTCACGTCCAATCGGATTTGCGGCGCGGCACAAACCCTATTCCCTGTCCGGAACGAAAAGGTGGAGTCCAAACGCGACCTGGTGATCAACATGATCTACGATATCTGTCTGCCATCGGTCGGAATCGAGGATCTTGAAGCCTTTAGAAAGATCCTGGACTTCCTCCGCAACGGAGAAGAAGAGGACAGCGCTGATGCTAATGTTGACGCAGGTACTGACACCAATGCTGACGCTGGTGCAGACACCAATGGTAACGCTGGTGCTGACGCTGGTGCAGACACCAATGATAACGCTAATGTTGACGCTGGAGCTGACACCAATGATAACGCTGGTGCTGACGCTGATGCTGACGCTGATGCTGACGCTGACGCTGGTGCTGACGCTGATGCTGGCGCTGGTGCTGACGCTGATGCTGGCAATGGCTGGTGGTGACGGAGCTGATAATATCGTCACGGCTTCCAACGATGCGGGTGGGTCAGAGACAAACCCTGCACCGGCGAAGCGCCTCGCGGACGCAAAACGTCTGAGTCTTCTTCTGAAAGCCATCGAATTGAACCAAGGCCTGTATTAGGATTAACATTACTAGAACTTCCCTAGATATCCAACCTTTTAATGATTTTGAAAGATAATCGTTAAATGCCCTCTTCTTCTAATGCCACTGATCACTAATCCTTACTACAATCCGCTTCTGTGTAGACCATAACAATAAGTGAGTCTTATGATATTACAAATGAAATATAGTATGCAGCACCAGAGAATGCCAAACTTTTACTGGAAAGAATTTTAGGAAAGGCTTTGTTAACATAACACGGTGTATGTATGTGAACTACATGCTTACCAAAAGAAATGTGATTGATGTAAATTACAAAACCACAACGTTAATGCTTCGAATGCTTTAAAGCCTCGAACCGTGAATTGTGGTTCACAGTCCGGTGTCCACAAAATCTCTGACCAATATCGTCGCAAACGATTTTTGATGTTTCGTTTAGTACCCGATGTTTTACTTTTGCTACAAGGCAATCAACAGGACTGTTAAACTTCGAATAATGTGCCTGATTTGATTTATTGATTTCTATATTATATTTCAAACATACATATTTTAAACATACATAATGTCCATCAGTGTGATATAATTTAGGTTTCAAAGTACATTACATGATACTTATACTGTAAAGAACAATGTGCCTGATTTGGGTATTTCATATGTCTTATGTCTTATATATTGTTAAACTGTTAAACTCGATATAATCATGCGCGTTTTTGGAATTTGGAAGGACCGTTTGAGCTTTGATATTGGAACATGTTTGTTTATACGATTTTAAAAATGTAGAAAGATTAGAATGTATTGTAAATCATATCGATAAAGATTGAATAATTTACTGCATCGTTTTTGCTTACAATGAGATATTATGTATTTCAAATTCAATCAATATACATTTTGTATATGTTTTTTTTTTTTTTCAATAGGCCTATATCTATCAAAAGCACGAGATAGGGAAGCAATATATTCAGTACTACTAAGGTGTTTTCAAGGTTTTTCTTAATTTCATTTGTTTTTATTGAAATGAAATGAGACGAAATCTATAATAAAGCTTCTAAAAAAAAATATGATTCGTTTTTGCTGTGTTTGAATAAAAATCCAAGTTACATTGACGTAGGCCTACAAGCAGGAACAGATAAACTAGGAATATTGGGGAGGGGCGCTTCAAACCATCGCTAGGATCTTTCGGGGGGAGGGGTCAAATACCAGGGCTCCCCTTGCAATGTGAAATATCCAAGCCATTTCTTTACCTAGAAGTTTGTTTCGTTCAAGTTTTATTACTTGTTTTTGTATATATATATATATATATTTTTTTTTTTATAGATTTGCAAACAGTTTTGACAGGGGCGGTGGGGGGGGAGGGGGGGGGGATACGCCACAACTACTGCTTAAACTGGATATGCCATGTGCAGTATGTGTGGCGTAATTGTGTAAAATGTCAACCTAACGGCCCGAATTCACAAAGGAGGTTTGTCGACAAACCGAGGTTTATGTACGTCATATGACGCGTTTTGACGCGTTTTTTTTTACAAACCTGGTTTGTAAATAACAAAAAGAGGTTTGTCGACAAACCTCCTTTGTGAATTCGGGCTATTGAGTCTAAAGGTCACAGGTCAGTGCTTTTTGTGCCATTGTGTGCCATGGCGCTATTCAGGTACATTTAGAGCAGTTCAACTCGGACTTCAATTATACAAATTATTTCTTTTTAATCATCGATCGACCCAGCATGGAGGTTTTTTTTTTTTTTTTTTTTACATCAAAGAGTGTTATTGAGTAAAAAATGAATACAATGACCGGCGTAGCGCAAACAGTGAGTTGGTTCTATACGGAAAGAGCTGAGCACTCATTGTTAAAGAGAGTTAAGGCAGAACGATTGGCAGAGATTGGAAGAAGGTTAAAGTCAATGATACAGATAGAAAAAGCTGATGTAGAAAAATATATAATGAAAAGCAGAATGAAAAACGGGTATTAAAAAAAATTGATATATTACGCGGGGTATATAGATAAGAGGCCGTCAAAGAGAGAGAGAGAGAGAGAGAGAGAGAGGGAGGGAGAGAGCGTCAAATCCATCGAAAAAAAAAACACACACACACACTCTCTCTCTCTCTCTTTTACTTTCCCTCTCTCCCCTCTCCACTCCTCCTCCATATGTTCTTCTTCTTCGTCTTCTTTTTGTGTTCGTTTTATGAAAAATTGGTATTTCGAGATAAGTTTTAAGATGAAGAATATTTTCCTCTTCACGTAATCCTTCATAATTACGCAAGTAATCACGAAGATGTATAATTTAAAGACAAGTATTGGAAACGCCCCATTTCAAAAAATGAAATGGAAGTTCTTATTACCAATCATGTGAAAGAATATGTTTCGACTAATACATGATCATAACAATTTTGCCGGGAAACCGCCTACTAATTGATATATTTGGTAAATTAGTTTATCTATATTGGGATGTGAGAGATATTACGCACGTGCGCGCACGCACGTGTGCGTAGTCCCATATACATCTTTCTGTGTACAGTGCTTGTAACTTTACTAAGACTGGGCCAAATTTCTTATCATTTTGATGTTTCCAGAACCTTGCAGTACACACCAATACTTATATGCTAGATGATCAACCTTTTCTGATCGATTCCACAACGTTTCTTTCACAATGCAATCGCATGACCAGAACTGATCTTTATCTTTAAACATACATTTAACATATAATAACACCTGGCACCAGAGAAATACTGCAAATGATGAAACAACGAGACACAATATGGAATTTTAATGCAGAAAATTGTATTCATCAGTCACGCAGCGAGGCGTTGGTATGAATGACTTTTTTAATGGGGGAAAATCCATACAGCTTATGCTCCATCGAGTACGAAAAATGTCTGAATACATAGAAGTGCAAATATTATTCTTTTACACTGATAACAAGCATGACATGAGAGAGAAGGAGTGATAGAGATAAAGAGAGAGAGAGAGAGAGAGAGAGAGAGGGGAAAGAGAGAGAGAGAGAGAAAGAGAGAGAGAGAGAGAGAGAGAGAGAGAGAGACAGATGTAGAAAAAATCTCCATGACTATAAAATGAATACATAAATGCATATTGGCATTGCGAACAAATATGAAGGGGGCGGGGTGGGGGAGAGGGGAAAGACGTGCGAGAAGGTAAACGAGAGAGGCTGGGATAAGTAAGGTGGTGATATTGGGAGGGAGAGAGAGGTATAGGAGAGAGAGAGAGAGAGAGAGATAATATATATGAGAGATAGAGAGATAAAGTGACAGAGAGAGGGAGAGAGTGTGTCTGTGTCAGAAGAGAATATAGAGGGAGAAAAAAGTAGACAGATAGCTACAGCGAGAGAAAGAGAGAAAAAAAAAAGGAAGAGAAAGACGGAGACAGAATGCTAGAGAAGATACTCCCTATTTTTTTTTTACGTTTGTGTACTTGTTCTTCTTTTCATGTTTTCTTGAATGAATTTAACAATTCATTACTATGATAGAACCACATAGCTTGATAAAATTCAGAACAGTTTTATCCTGACAACGAAATGCATGCTCATAATGTAAGGTGAATAAATGGCCCGATAAATGGGCACCTGGCAGGAATTAATTCCTTGAAATGATAGAGCGCCGTAATGGCAGCCATGCTATAAAGCCGGGTTAATAATGCGGAGCGCCAGGATTTCCAAGTCTGACAGACATGAGCGCTTTATTATCGTTATCATTATGAATTATATATGATTTTTTTTCTTCATGGGAAAAAAAATTAGTATAGGATTTCCCTTTCATTATAACACGGATTAAAATTAATCTGTGTGCACTTCAATTTCGAGTAAGATTAGGAAGTTTAGGGACGACATTGAAGGAAAAAAGTGTGAAATTGAATGGAAAAAAGGGGGAAATTGAATGGAGCAAATGGTAAAAATGAACGAGATACCTATACAAAGAACAAACGCTTTGCATGGTTTTACTGCATTTCCTTGTACACCCTTTTAACCACTGCTGGTATTTTTCTGGAATGAATAGGCGCATACAAATCCTGCAAAGATTTCATCATGGACCATTGGGGCAAGGATACACAGACGGACAGAGAGAGAAAGAGAGAGAGAGAGAGACAGAGATTAAGACAGACAGATAGAGGGTGCACTATAACTCTGTGAGTAATTAATGTCTCGGTGGTAGATCAGAGTTGTGGTCTCATTAACCGGTAGGTTCGGGGTTCGAAACCGTGTTCATGCGTTCGAGTCTAATAAGCCAGTTCACAGTTGCAGTCTGAGCATGAGCAGATAAAGATCATTGCAGACCAAATTGTAATAATACACAGAGACAAAATACCGTAAAAAGTGTTCATGAAAGTTATATAATCATTATTCATTTATGCACAAGCAGTGCGCTCCATGGAAGTATTCTTTGAAAAGGGGAAACAAAGGCTATTTACGTAGCACCTCCATCGCTGTAGGATTGATTATTTTAAAAGTGGGACCTCTTCATGTTTTGAAGATCTGTGGATATTTGGGGTAATTTGGGACATTTTGCTAACCGTGAACTGGTCTATTGGTATAGCATTAGTGCTCACTTATCAAGTCCCCTGGACAGGATTTAAAGCTGAAGGTCCACTATAGCTGCTCAGCTTACAAACATCTTTCTTTCATAACGATCATGAATGTTAATTTCTCTCCCTCCTCTCTGGACACTCTCTTCCTCTTTCAATCTTTCTTTCTTCCTAACCAAATTATCATGCATCGTTTGTATTCTTATTTTCATTCTTGAAAAGACTTCACTTCAAGCTGATACTGAAGACGATCCCTTTTCTGTGTATACCACGTCATTATCATAATATCTAGATTTATAATATTGTTAATGTAAATAATGTTGATGTATATGGAATAAATAAATATCAAATCAAATCAAGTACGGATAACAGTCAGGGAAATATTAGTTATAATATCAAGAGAGGGAGGGACAAGGAGGTAGAGAGAGAGAGAGAGAGAGAGAGAGAGAGAGAGAGAGAGAGAAGAGAGAGAGGGCGAGAACGAAAGAAAGAGAAGGGAGAGAGAAGGATGAAGTGAGAAGGAGGGAGATCGAGGGGAGAGAGAGATCTTATGCAGACGACATCGTCGATGCATTTTCGATCCTACAATCGGCGCAGTTGGATGCCGCACTCTGATAACAATCGCTAATGCGTTATTATTCGCTTATCTGTTCACCGCCGCCTTTCCCCCTTTCTTTCCTCCCGTCGCTAATATAATCTTATGCTCATTACCAACATAATTTATGAGCGTTGGAGATTAAAGAGAGAAAGAACAAGTAAAAAGTCCCTCGCAATATCAACATAGAGTATCGCACTTCAATTTAGGCAAAGAGGCTTGTGCATGCACACGTGATGTTCTAACGCATCATTTTTCTCGACCGCGATGCTCAGCTAGTTCTCACACAAGTAACGTGGAGCTCTCAAAATTAGCGACGAAGAAAGCATCACCTAATATCCCGCTTAATATCCATCTCGAGACCTATCAATACTTACGGTAAGTGCATTTACTCTAAAATTGTGCATCTTAATATGCTTCTTAACATCTGTCCGCCGTCTGTCCGTAACGCTATGTACACATTTGTTTTTCCTTCTGAAATCGCCATTGTTGTATATCTTCTTGCGAAGACGTAGAGTCACACACAGACGGCGTCGATTATCAAAGGTAAAGCATTTAGGTAAGACATTTTGAAGTGTGCGGGTGGAAATGGAGTGTCTAGACGGTGAATTGTGGTTTGTATTGACTTTTTATCGTTAGCGTCGCGGGAGCGGTCATGTTTTCATTATTATACACGGGTTGTGTCAACTTGTGTGTATCGTAATCATCACAATCCGTAGTATTTACATCAACCGATATTCCTAGCATCATGCCTGGTTCATGCTTGCATGATCAATTGAACATCATTTCACGTCTTCGCGAATCATCTGCGCGAGTATAATTTATCCACTCATGGTAACATCTCTTTTACAATAGCATAAACACATTCACGAATGAATACATTTCCACCAGTCCGAAAGAAAAAGATTTTGCAAGTTGCCGCAAAGGTCACTTCCCGGCAAATGCCCCAAATTGTTATCTATGTAAATCATGTGATCGGACAAAAACGTATCAATTTGATGCTTAAAAGAGTTATAAATATCAACTGAACCAAAGAGAACTTGATATCATTGTCAAATCATCGGCAAGTAAATAAATGAAAACGAACTGTTGAATTTGTATAAGTCATTAACAAGTTAAAATCGTTTTCCTAAAGTGAATAAACTGATCCTGAATTTAATATATATATATACATATATGACCTTTAATGCGTCTCTTCTCCACTTTTTACCTTAATGCATTCATAGAATATCTCCCCATGATCAAAGCAAAAACACATTATTAATTACGTATAATGTGCTGGTACCACTGAACGATTATACTCTTACGCATATCAAACAAGACCAAAACAACATGAATCGGGGCCCTGTTTCACAAAATGTGTTATCAATAACAAACGCAAAATTTCCAAGACAAATTTGCTCTCAGCCAATCACATGCCACGGTTTCAGTAGCTTATAACAGATCTTGTAACTTGTCATTGATAACATGTTTTATGAAACCAAGCTCTGATATTGTATATCACACGACCTTCCATTTTGCTGCCCACATTATCTACGTCATGAAGCCTTAAAGTGATCAACTGATTTAGTATGGTTTGAATTTGATTTGAATTCATTCAGGCAATATTAGAACGTGTCTTAGGGGGGAGGGGGGGGGGGGTAAAGAAAAGATGTAATAAAAACCCGTAGTCTGCTTCCCAGATATAAAAACAGACACAAAAACAATGCAGTTAATAAATATCGTATTGAGAGTAAAAGAGAGTGTTGCGAATAAAAAAAAAAAAAAGATAGCTTTTGAGGCAGCCATTATCGCCTCCTTGTGCCCTAAAACATATTCAATTCGTCGGTTAAAGTTTAGTTTCTTGATAATTATCCAAAAGACATCCAGTTTCTGATTTGTTTTTAATCAACCACAAACACAGAAACAGAAGAAAGGGTCCATGGACTGCAATTGTCTTAATATGCAAAAGATCAGCTTCCGATTTTAATATCGGCCTACAAAAAGAAGAAAACTCAGACTATAAGATGCATCTTTTATCAATCTTTAGTAAATTGATAATACGGACTTATTCTCGTATTGCACGATTATAATCTTTAATGTATTCCCAATTTCTCGTTTAAAAAAATATAAAATAAAAACTCTTATCATTTTGTCTTGTTAAGGAGACCCTATATTCAATGTTCAATGTGTTTATTTGCCCAATGTCATTCAACATGGATATTGGGTTTGTTCACATGTAAAATTCAGGCTCAGACAAGGTTTACAAAGAACAGAAATATGATACGAAAGATGGATACATTTTGGTGATGACAAAATAACAGTCATACATAATAATGATTCTCGTTTGGTTATGGCTTCTTTAGTTTCCGTAAGTTACGTAATTTAAATGTCTTCATGCATATTTATAATTATAATGGTCTGTTTTTGACTTTTTGTGTGTATGACGACCTTCTTATCATGGTCATCTTAACATTTGATAACATTTTTTTTTTTAAATAAATGTAATGCTTCCTGGGAGAAATTTCAATAGTTTGAATATACTTGTGGCTTACAATCGATCTTATTTACTGGGTGTAAGCCACAAATATGTTCAAAGTTGATAACATGTTTTTTTCAAATTGCTAGGAATTTTTCGGTTGAATTGCTTATTATTCAGTGGTGTTTCCGGCAACGCGAGCAACGCCCCCTGAAGAAAACACAGACTTAGATGAATCTGTAAAGAATTGATACTGAACAACATATCTTTTGGATGCTGCTTATAAGTAGGCTTACGATTGCACCATGTGAGAGGGGGAGGGAGAGCTTGGGGGGGAGGATAGAGGAGTCATTAAAGGGAGTGTCGGTAATCTTACTTTCTCGAGTGTGTGCGCTGTATAGTTTTCTTTAGAACTACATGTATAATGCTCAAGAGAGATTACCAACAGGTTTTTTCAGAACTACACACATATAATACTCAAGAAAGAAACAGTCCTTTTCAGGACTCCCCAATCCACCCCTCTCCCACAGGGTGCAACCGTAAGCCTACTGCATAACATAATATATTTTATCCTCCTGGCAGTAAATATCATGAAGCCATATAGGTTCAGCTGAACCGCCTATATACGATCAGGCGCAGGCTACTTTGCAGTAGGCATGAAGCTCTGGGGTCTCAAATGAATCTGACCTGTGTCCATGTGGTCATACTCAGACCGTTGAGTATGTTCTGAATGAGTGTGCTGCTGTAACAGGGCCCCATGCCCCTTCACTAATAATACTTTAACAACAGTGTCTGTTTGAAATATAAAATAAAAATAACATATCTTTCAGGGCTTACTGTTTTCTAAAGGTGGTGTTGAATAATGATTTAGGGGCGTATCCAACTGAAGGTTGATACGGGAAACGCCCCTCTTATTAAAAGGCCTTGGAAAGAAGCAATACAAATTGCAGTGGGTCTTTGACACGGTGGGTTACATTCCACCTCCCCCTTCTTCAGGAGAGTATCCCCCCCCCCTCTCTCTCTCCTCTCAGCATATGGATAAGCCACAGCATATTTCCTCTATTCTTCAATTTTTCTCAAATGAGTGCTTATCCACGCACATTTTAGATATATTTTATTATTCTAAATTATATTGCACAACCATTTGTTTAGTACATCTTTATCCCCAGACAGGGGCCCCTAATTACAGCGCCCTTGTTCATTTTTAACACTCTCCGCTCCCACGTCTCTGCCGCAATCTGACCTCAGGTAATGAATTATTCAGCTCTTGCATCCGATTAAGATCTATGCACATTGTATGTTTCTTTTCTACAGATTCGTTCGCTACTGTTATCGGGTGTGTTCACGGAATATATCAAAATCTGTCTGGGTTCTCACTATAGCAGAGAGATTCGATTTATTCATCCAGTATGGCTTCACCTAAAGGAAATGGAGGCCTGACGCCTTTTGAACACCAGGCGATGGGAGTTGTGCTTTCAATCGAAGGTGAGATACTTTTCTGAATATTGTTTGCGTCCATTTTGAAAGGCTTCGTTTCATTGTTATCTTCGAATAATGACTTGTAATGTCTTTCTTGTTCTGGAGAAAGAAAAGTAATCCCTCTTTATACCCCGCTCTCTCTCTCTCTCTCTCTCTCTCTCCCTCCTTCCCCTCCCTCCCCTGTCTGTCTGTCCCACTCTCCCCCTCCCACAGTCACTGCCACTGTATCTCTCTCTCTCTCTCTCTCTCTCTCCCTCCGTTTGTCTGTCTGTCTCTGTCTCTGTCTCTCTCTTCTTCTTCTTAGTTCTTCTTCTTCATCATCTCTTTCTTCTCTTCTTTTCATACATATATTCTCTTCTTTTTCTTCTTTCTCTCTGTTTTTGTCTCGTTCTGTATCTCCTTTTCTATGTATTAATTTCACTGTCTCTCTATCTCAGTCTGCCATCTCTCTCTCTCTTTCTTTCTCTCTCTCTCTCTCTCTCTCTCTCTCTCTCTCTCTCTCTCTCAATATTATATATTTTCTTGTTTACCGCTAAGAGTAACACGCCCACTTCCCTCTTTGCATCTCCGACATCACATCCAGTAATATTTAGGCAGAATATATTAATAATTCAGATGCAAAATCGATCAAAACTAATCTCTGCAAGCCCTTATATCCGTATCTGCTATTAAAGTCAACCAATGAGGAAAATGTATATTATGAATTGTAAATGAAGCTTTTTAGATCCCTTACCTGATTACAGTCGATGCATGTTTAGAGGTTGTAGCCATGTTTCGGCGGATCTCAACCACAAAATTAGGGAAGATTAATATGTTTGTTGCCGTTACCTGACTAATGAAAATCGGAATAAAATGCTCGTAATCTTGATAAGCTATGTTTGCTATTCCATTTCCGCTTTTTCAGAAGTGGGATTATGTTAATTGGCATAGTCAGCTCTATCATATCGGGGCGGGGGCGGCCAATATTCCGACAATCTAAACATGGATAAAAAAGCGTCATGCGTTGATTTTGCAGAAAGAACGTACCCACCCTCCAAAGCTACGATAATGATTAGCGGGGTTAGAAGATTAGGGCTAAGATTGATAACATAAATTATAAGTCCATTAAAAGGAAATACACGGTGAAGAAAATGGGCGTATTTGCATCCATTATGGAAATGCAGAACAATATCTCTACATTTATCAAACAATATTGAACATGTTGAAATAAGAGCTGAGGTTTCAATGAATATAGGCTCGATGTATAATATTGTGGAGCGTCTAGACAATATCCATGTTGTGAAAGATCTTATTGACTAAATGTGTTGCATTTTAGTATCTCGAAAACATCTGAGTTAGTTCCATGCAATTATTTATTTAGTTATAAGTTAGTTAGTCTTTGGGGGAGCAAGACAGCTCCTCAAAAATAAAAAGACAATTCCACAGATTATTCCACGACATAATTAATATAGACAAATCATATAAAAGTGAAGGAGATGTAAACAAGAATGGGAAATGAGAAATTGAATAAAAATAAAAATAAGGAATAGATAAATCGGATCAGGATAATGATAACAAGAGATTAATGAAAAGTAGTTGCAGAGGGGATGAAGAAGGAGAAGATTGAAGTAGAAGAAAAAAGATTAGGAGGAGGAGGAGACAGTAGAGGGGAAAGAAGAAGAAGAAGAAGGAGGATAAGAAGAAGGAGGAAGAAGAGGAAAGTGAGAAAATAGAGTCAAACACAACATAAAAAGAATCATTAAGACTCTATTAACCTTTAAATGGATAAAATTACACAATTTGCAAGACCGTACATTATTATCTAGCTTTAAGCAATTATCAGCCTTTACATCAATACACGAACTGCTGAATTTTCTTTTCAAACATTCTCCTTGCAAAAGGTTATTACGTCCCATTATTAACGATCTTATTTAATGGTTAATCTTTAAAAGCAATTGATTCTCAACTTAGACAGAAGTTTATTATTTAAAAAACAAGCTCACAAAATCTTCAACAACAAAGACCGTCCAATTACGTATAAATGTCATAAAAGGTGACGATTATCTTTAGCGATTGAAACCTTAAGTTTTACGCATTTGTCCAATACCGTCTGTCTTAATTAACTTGGATTTCCTTGAAAATGAAAACGAATCAACCACAACAATATGGCTGCGGGCAACAGGACTATTATTTTCGAGAGGTTGGAGTTCATAGTTTTCAGGACATCAATTTGAAACGTGATTACCAGAGAGAGAGAGAGAGTATGCCACAGGCGAAATTTCGCAAAATGGTTAAAAAAATTGGAGATCACCACCCCCTCCCCCCCCCCCCCCCCCCCATTTTAATGTGACTTGCTTAGTTTTTTAAAGATTTTTCTCTTCGTGTGCATGGGTTTTTGTCGAATTTGGATTCGAAATACCATGCAGGAGTTCTCTTGTTCATTGCAGTCCCCGGAATAATTTCTCATTACATGCAGATTTGTCTTTTGTGTCCGACTGCTTTTTAGACATTTTGTGAAAAACATACGGCATAACATAATATAAGTAGGACAAACGCAAATTAAATTATTATTGAAAAATAATAATTTAATTTCATAATTTATCTTGGAAATTTAAAGATGATTTAATTTGTATCTAGGTTATTCTATTTTCTACATCTCATTAGAATAATGCATTGAATTATATGATATTTGATATAAGTATTTCCCAGCAAAGTATAATAATTCAATTTTGTGTTCTTTCTACCGTAATATAAATCTCGAAATAAAGTCGATATTGCAGGATCCAGATGAACTACATGTATAATAATATTACCTGAGCCTTCAGAAGATATCTTGATTTAGAAATTTGGTGCATTCTAAAATCCAGGTTAGAAATAGGCAAAAACAAAGTAATGACAACGCCTATTAAATTCATTACTGCTATCATTCTTTAATATGCAGGTATATTTGTTAGTTTGTTTCTTTAATTATTCTCGTTGTTCAGAATGATCACTAATTTTCTGTGTATTCATTTTCAAACCTTTATACCTTTTTCATGACTTAATTATATCTTAATAATTTTCTTTTCTTAACAATAAGTTACATGATTTATGAAACTAACATTGTCATGATGATGATGTTGATGATTATGGAAATATTGATGATAATTTCGACGACGGCGAAGCTTCTGATGATTACGTCATTGAGGATGACGATTTGATGATGTCGACCAAAATATGGATGATATGTGATGACGACAACGATTACGACGATGGTGATGATGATGAGGCAGCGTCGACGGATAAGGAGGAGGAGGGTGAAGACGGTGATAAAAATGATGGTGGTGATAGTGTTGATTGTGGTGGTGGTGGTGGTGGTGGTGGTGGTGGTATACTGCTGCTGATGATGATAATAATGCTGATAATAATGATGATAGTGGTGGTGATTGGGTTGTTGTGCCAATGGTGATGATGGTGGCGATACTGTTGCTTATGTTGCTGATAATGATGATAATAGTGATTATGATGATGATGACGGTGGTGCTGGTGATCTTGGTGGCTGTGGCGATAACGAGATGATGGTGCCTCCCCCAGTTAAGAGCAATACCCATGGAGTATTGGTAGCTGGTATAATATAATCTTTAATAATGATGATGTTGATGATAATGATAAGTAAGGATGATGATTATGACGACGAGAAAGGTGACGATAATAATTGTATTATAATTGAGTGGATATTATCAATGTTCCTCCTCTTTGCTTCCATATTCTCTTGTAGGGGTATTGGGAATCACAGCTTCAATCTACATCTTGATATCACTGTTCAACAGCAAAGGGCGTGACCCTACCCAAAAGTCCATTCGAACCAGCTTGGCCCTCGGCGACCTGGGTAAGTATTTAAAACGCATTTTGAAGTTGTCACGGAGTGATTCCACCTCAAAACATTAGCCATGGGGAAAGTGGGTAAGTTTACCCCCTAAAATGAATATTAGAAAGTTTGCATCATCTCCACTTCCTGGGAATATTCCTATTTCAAGTCACTGAGGAATAAACCACCAGACTACACACTTTTCTTTCTATTATGCCCCATTTTGAAGAAAAAAGTCACGTCTCATTCGTTAGAAATGTAAATACTGAACAGTCAAATATCCACAAGTATTTGTTAATTGAGTGGAGGTGTCGTGGTGTATTTATTCTTTGACTTGTCTATATGTCCAAGGGCTGATGGTTCGAATCCCAGCTCGGCACTAACGTCCTTTGGCACTCCCCACCAAAGTGTAAATGGATACCTGACAATTGTTGCAGGGCCATCAAGAAGAACAGTATCGAAGCTGATGAGGCTACCCTGGGTAAACGAAAATACAGTCAAACCTGCCTATAGCGACCGCCCAAGCGAAACACAAAAAGTGGCCTTTGTATAGACAGGTGGTCTTTGTAGACAGATTTCTTTAGTACATGATTCAATGAGGAACCATTTTCAAGGGAAACAACAAATGTGGCCTTTGTAGACAGGTGGTCACTAAAGCAGGTTTGACTGTAGTAGTATTAGTACAATCCTTTCTTTTGTTTTCTTTCTTTCTATGTAATACAGCAATTGGCATCATGAGTCCTGTGGTTGCCGTGTCAAGTTTCTCCGAGGAGTGGGTTTATGGTTCAAGCGGGTGCCAGACCTATGGTTTTGTGGCCAACTTTTTTGGGTTGATCAGCATCTGGAGTTTGGTTGCCATGGTGCTCCATCACTACCAGAGCTCCAAGATAGGGGCGAAGAGAGGTATGGTGGGGGTAGGGTCTATTCTATAGACAGAGAAGACAAAGAAAAAATCGTCTGCTTAGAGGAGTTTTAAAATTTTGTATGCGAAATAAGCTAGTGAGACAATATATTTTACATTTACTGAAAATGTAATGCTGTCATCGAAATATGCTTTATAAGATATGAAAACTCAGAATATACACCTCACTTTGACTAAAATGAAACATTTGGCTAATACGGTGATGGAAAGTATTGCTCACAGAAAATCTTTGTCTCAGTAGCTGATTCACTGCCAATCTTTTCTATACAATACATGGTATAACCTTATTACAGTAATATTGATAAAACTCTATACGCAATGTTGTTTATACATCCATCTCTATTTCTTTTTCTCGTTGTCCTTCTCCTCATCGTCATCATCATCATCATCATCATCATCAACTCCATCACCACTACCACCACCATCACTATCATCATCACCATCACCACCACCATCGACATCAACACCATCACCACTACCACCACTACCACCATCATCATCACCAAAGATGACATCAGCAGCCGATACTCCATGACCATCGCCCTTATTTGGGGCGGGGCGTTCTTCTGGTCGGCCACTCCCCTCCCGTTCATCGGAGTGGGGCGGTACGTGGTCGAGCCCTTTGGCACCGGATGCCTCCTCGACTTCGCCGACCGCAGCCCAAGTTATTTCATCTACCTAGTCGGGTTTTCGACACTCGGGCTCGCCTTCCCCATCGCCCTTCTCATCTCTCGGGGGCTCAACTACGAGAAGGTCCCGATTGAATCAGTGATTGTGAGTATCGATGATGAAATTTGGATGGTTTTATGAAATCCAGTAAGAAAACAAAAGCAAACGTACAAAATAGGTATATTTCAAGTTAGGTAGTATTCTTTATAATGCAAGTCATTCCAAACCAACTTCTATATTAAGGATATATTGACTGCTTTGAGAGGCATAGTGGTTTCTATAGGGTCAAGGGAAACTCACAACCTGCTATGACCCCAAGGCGCTTGCGCCGCGGGGTCATAGCAGGTTGTGAGTTTCCCGAGACCCTATAGAAACAACTATGCCTCGAATATTAAAAGCAGTCAATATATATTTTATATACCAAAAAAAAGGAAAATGTTGACTCACCCATTTAGGTTTCCATCTCTTTGAAGTCATGAATATTAACACCAACAATAACTTGTGTACAGTATGAAATCCAACAAGCTGTGCTCCAGTAGAACAGGGAATACCAAACACGTTTACACGAACAGTAACTTTTGTACAGGATGATATCACCAACAAGCTGTGCTCCAGTAGAACAGTAGAACATGAACAGTAACTTTATAAAAAAATTGGAAACAAAAAACCCCAGTATTTTGCGATCGAGACTAGTACACAAAATGGCGATCGGTCGTCTGCGCTGCGTGGATTGGTAGATTCGTCGCCTGAATGCAGCGACCAAAATCGAATTGCACTCAAACACCGTTAACGGTATTGCGCATCGGTCATCGCACAAAAGAAACTTATACGGTAACACGTAAACCAAAATGGGGATCGCAGCAAAATGACGTCACGTTTCACAGCCATGGAAAAAGTGCTATGAAAAATGGATATAAACCGGTAGAGCCGGGAAAAATGACTATGAATTTCAATTAGCGGGCATGGTTAAGAACATGACTGCATTTTCAACCAATCAGAAGACAGGATTAGTAAAGAATCTTAAAATGAGGTATATAATGTCCAATACTGCGTTATAAGAAATGACGCCACTTGACAATTTTGAGTAGTAGCGGGTGTCAGACCAAATTGTTCTACAAGCTTGCCGGAATATCTTCGACAGGCAAACAAAGAATAACTGCTTTTAGATATACGATCTGTCGGCAGACATTTGATTTTGAAATATTACATGCAAGATGCAACTGGGGTCAAAACTTACACCGAGCCCCGAGCAACGCCCTTGAATTTACAGTTGTCAACGCTTTATTGAATATGCCACTCTCTAAAAAAAAATCTTCCATATCATTTAAACATTTCCAAAAAAGGTGCCATGAATAAAGGTCTTACTATATTAAAGTGGTGTGGGTGTGACCAAAATATTAACACATTTCGAATTTGATTTCAAACTGAATGGAATATTTGCCATATTTACCGAGAGAAAATATTTACCGAGAGAAAAAGAGAGGGTATAAAGAATTTTCTAAAGAGTCACTAAAATTTGTAATTATTGTTTAAATTACGATGTCTCATTGATAGGCTTGCTGGAAGGCAGTACTGGTCCTCTGTTTCTACTGGGGTTGCTACGGGCTCGTGGCCATCGCGACTGCCCTGTCTGGGCCCGGTCGTGTCTCCGTTCGTCTCTTCGCCATCGCCCCGCTCCTCGCCAAGACTTGCCCCATCGTCAACGCGGTCATCTTCGGGGATACGATGTCGTTGGACGAGCCTACGACAACCAAAGAGCAGAAGAAACACTGAACAACACGATGGTGTCGTTGTTCATATTTGTTTCTGTAGCGGCCGTGTTCAGACACATGATTATACAAGGGCTCATGCGGTTGTAATACGACACATGCTCCTGTGGTAATAGCACCGCGTTCAATCATGGTGCTAGGTCCATGGTTCAATATCCTACACTAACCAAATCGTTTACGTCATTCCGAGACCGAACTCCAAAAAACCTTGATCCTAAAACTAAACCATTAACCTAAAAAGTAAAAACCTAACCTAAAACTCAATTGCACCCTAACCTAAAACACTGAACAAGGACTCTGGCTATTCATTGTTACCTAATATCACTCCAGTGATCTCTAAGCAGCAGAAAGCAAGAAATTGTATGAATAATCAGTTGGCTTGAGAAATTCTGAAGGAGTGGGCGAAAGCTTTCTTATTAAATTGTAAGGTTGGCAGAAACTACATCGTACGATTACCCCAACAAATTAAAGTATTTTGTACTAACCCAAACCCTGCATAAAGCCCGGAGCATGTGTCGGAACACCGTTCATGAATGCCATTGGTTGCTGTTGATGTTGTTGCAATTGATGTAATCGTTGTTGATGTTGTTGGTGTTGCTTGAAGGCTTATGAATGTCTCTGCCCAAAGGGGTGGATATGGGACATCTCCCGTTAGACTGACAGACCACGTCGTTCTCATGAACCATCAGAAGGGTTGTCCGATCGGCCGCGAGACTGGCATTTCAGGGGCTGTCGAATTCATGTCTCGTAGGCTGGCGTTGGTCTCGTTGGCTGAAGCTAATGAATTTATGCCATTTTGTAGCGTATCGCCAAATGGTTATTGTTTGATGTTTGATGACTAACTACAATCAAACCTGTCGTAGTGGCCACCTCTGTATAAATGTGTCTAAAGTGGTCATCCATATTGCCTCCCCTGTATAGAAGGAAATGTGTGTTGAAGAACCTGTCTACAGTGGTTACTTCCTCTGTTTCCCTTGGGCGACCTTAATAGACAGGTTTGACTGTACCTACAAAAAATTATTGTGCCTCAGTATTATTGTAACACAGTATTACACAGTATTTTTCATTGTGCGTTGAACAGTGTATATCTTGAGCATGGACTTATATAATAAATGTATTGTGAACTTATTTAAACGATTCTAAGAATCATGATAATATTCGCTTTGTGTAATAACATGATTGTCATTTTCCAAATCATTTTAAACAGGGAATAAATGCTTATAAGAATTAAAGGAAAATTGAAGTAAAATATACAGATGATGAGTCAATCGAAATTGGATATGAAGATCAGATGTATTATACGGTAAATTTGCCCTCTAAAAATTATTCGCAATTCGAGTCCCGCCGCGACGCTAATGACCTTTGGCAAGACATTAATCTACATTTTGCCCCTCTCCACCCAGGTGAAGTAAATTAGTACCCGGTAGGAAAAAAAATCATTGAATGCTTTAGCGCCTTATTAATGGCAGCTCAGCTACATCCGGGAATTATGATGCTTCGTATGCAGTAAAGTATTATGGTATAGCTGCGCTATATAAATTGACCTATATTATTATATATTAATTGAAGGATAGCCTATCATTCTATAGGTTTTGATAGGATACCAAAAACAACAACAATCAAAGGACTAGTTGAACAATTAGGCCTATGCACATTTTGTCATAGGCTAAGTGTTAGTTTCAAATATAAAATGCAGATCAAAAGTATAAAGCATAATTATGATGAAATTCATTACAAATAATACAATGCTGTTATAAGATTTGATACTTAGCACACTCTAACATATTTGTATTTCTTGTAAAATATGTTAAAACTATTGCCTTGTAAGCGGTTATATAAAGTGAGCTTAATGTTATTGTCGTATGATATTGTTGTTATCGCCATTACATGTAACATCATCATGTCAGACTACTGTCGTTATTATCAGGTGGCATCATTATACTGAAGAAGACCATTAGTTAGAAGTAGTGTAATTAAAAGGTTATATCGTCTAGTCCTGTAGTTTTATCGACGTAATTAAAAAAAATAGTGCTATAGTCGTAGCGTGATATACCCAAGACGCGTCCATACAATCTTTAATTTGTTTTTATTCAGTCAGCTTAACTGGATCATGTCTCGCAAACAATAGTGTTATTAGATGATGTCGCGTTTCTGCGAGATATACCATAGCCGGACTGGAAGATTTCATTTTAGGTTGCTGGTTATAATCAATAAACGGTTTAAACAAACTTAGATAATAGAATTTCGTAAATGTGTTCCATTGTACGAGAAATTGCTTAATTTGATTTGTTTTCAGTACCAAAGCCCTGAAGAAAATGAAAGGAAATATGTTTGAAATGAAGAGGTGGAACAGTGATGTATTATTGTCGTTAAAGAAAACCCAAACAAATATTTTCCTCACATTTTCATGCTTCATGTAACAAAGATCAAATTATTCTAAAATGATTTAGAATTGAGAATGAATTCCACAATTGCATTTTTTACAATTTAAATGTACCTGGTGTTCTTGTAGCTAGGATGTTTTCACACGTTGACATTACTTCGCACAAAGTATAAGAAATGAGATTTAAGCCGGCTGTGTCTTTTCATTAAAAAGAAGAAAGTTGTTGAATTTGCATTTTTTTTCTTGCCCTTTTGTGTGTAATAAATTGTCAAACATTGTCAGTTGATAATGGCTTGTATACAACTAATATTCGTGTCAACAAGGGAATATACTGTATTTTATACCGTGCAAGCTACCCGCATATTTTGAGCATCTATCGTGCACTAGCCTATATATTGTGGACCCTTTTTTATATATATTTTTTTTATTTCAGCTTGCCATAGAGTATCGCTGAATGATCTTATTTTGGATGTGAATTGGGTTTGAAAACATTTTCTCTCTGCGGAGTTAAATTGGGGGCGGAAACGGGCGTGCAGTCATATAGGAGCAGGCTGATAGACACCACCTTCTTCAACAAAAAGTTATGCTGGATGATCAAAAGAGAGAGGAGAGAGAAATAGAAAGAGAGAGAGACACAGAGAGAGAGAGAGAGAGAGAGAGAGAGAGAGAGAGAGAGAGAGAGAGAGAGAGAGAGAGAGGGGGAGAGAGAGGGAGAGAGAGAGGGGGGGGGGGGGGGGGGAGAGGCAAAGGAGAGAGAGAGAGAGGGGTGAGCCGGTGAGGGGTACATGGGGATGAAATTTGATCAATAAATAAAAGAGCTGACGGTAAAGTTAGATACAATATGGGCATAATGCTAAAGGAACAGGGGGAGACACAGTAATAAGCTCCCAAAAAAGCGCCTGGTACCTCCTTTCCCTTTAAATCGAGATTGCGGTAGCACCAATGTCATTACCAACCCTGCAATTCTGGTAACCAACTACTGAATAACGACAATGTGGTGTTGCTTGATGGGGGCGTGTCGTTTGTTTACATGTGTGACCCTGAGCATTTCGTAACATACTTAGATTTAGAAGCTTTTGTGTAACTTAAGATAGCCAAGCAATCCCAAAACTTGCACTTCTCCACCTGAAGGCGAACAACTATCAAACATGGAGGCCATTGCTATTTTCTTTAAAGTGACTCTACCCAGCTACTTCGAGAGTCTACCCATTCCAGAGACTTTTGGAGGCCTTTTACAATTAACAGGTATGATTTTATCACGACGAAATACCATAATGTCGAATTAGTGGGACCGTTGATTGTATATCTCACGCACAGAGCATGCGCAAACCTAATTACGCCATTTTCACTCATCACACAACATAACGGTGAACAGTTACGCGGTGCCGAGTCTGGTCCCGAGCTGTAAACCCCTCTTTAAACATACTCAACTTTGTATTTTCTCTTCAAATTCACTTCTTTAGAAACCATGGTCATGGAAGGTAAGAGGCTACTTTCCATGTCATATTTAGTTAGTGTTTTTCATCATTTTCGAGCGATGTGTTTTGCTGCGTTGCAATGTTGATGTTGGATTGTTGGTCGTGCGCAATTTCAATGCCATTGGCATTGATGCAGCCACACTGCCATTTCCAGGGCAGTGGTAAAAAAGCGCCAGGGAACTCCAGAACCGGCCTATGTATTCAAACAGGGGTTGGGTCACATTTTTTCAAAATGTAAAGAAAGAGGTTATAATTACAATTTTGACTTGCAATGTTTTCGACTCATCTGGGCATTCGTTCAACTAGACTAGACTCTAGACCCCCTACTTGAAATTATAATTTGAAGAAGTTGTTGATAAGAAAAAGGGTGATTCTTCATCCTACATGTAGATCTAACCCAATTTATCCCATGCCCATGGCCGTGTATATCAATTGTCATCAATTCAACATGGCGAAGAGAAAGTATGCATGCGTGGTAGCGGCGCAGCACATGTGTGTGTGTGTGTATTGGGTTACAGACATGTATTGGTCAGATATGATTATTTACGTCTGAGGACCGCCCTTTATTAAACGTCACCATCCGAAAGACTTGACTCGGTATCGAACCTATACATCCTCGGCTGGATTACAGGCGCACGCTACAACGCCTAGTATAGCCTTAATTCTAGGAAAAGAGTCAATTTTTTCAGATGAAGAAGGAGAAGAAATAGATAAAATAAAGTGATTTTATCGTTAAGTAGAATATTCATTCATTAGGCTTACTACATTCAACATATTCTTTTGAAAATCTTTGCTTTTGCAGGTGCTGATTGGCTACGCATGGTGCCCCTCGTTGGGACTCTTGGAGCGGTCATCGTTCTCACCGTGATGCAGATCCGCAGAGGAAAGTGTTCTGGAAACGGCCAGGTCAACCAGTCTGTTGAGAAGGACAAGGCCAAGGTCGTACATGCCTTCGACATTGAAGACCTTGGTGACAAAGAAGCCTTCTGCCGCTGCTGGCGATCCAAGACGGTAAGGCCCTTCTGCAGCTATAACAATGTTGAATACTACCTATTCTTTTGTTGAAGGTTGCATGTGCAGACCTCTTTGATTAAATGGGTTACCCTTGTTAAAGTTTAAATTGAGGAAATATGGTTAGTAGGGGGAAGGGGGGGGGGGGGGGGGGTAGAGGAGATGAATCCAAGAATGTCTTTCTGCAGCTAATAATGTCAAGTAGACTACCATTTCTTTTGTTAAAGATTGTATTTAGGCCTCTCGGCAATTTTTTTCTTCTAGCCTTTGATCTGAATTGAAGAAATATGGTTTTGCATCGTTGTGTGTCATGTCGGGGCAGGGGGAGGGGATTAGAGGAGATCTGGGTAATCAAGTTCTGTCCGAAGCTGACAAAGTAAAAAATATCTCCTTTTCTTTTGGTGCAGGCCCCTCAGCAGAAAATTGTTAAAAGCTCTTGATTCTTAGCGAAGAATTTTGGCTTTGCAAAACTGGTGGGGGGGAGGGGGTTGAGAGGAGATAGATCCAAGATGGTATGGCTCTCTGCAGAAAACAATGTCCAATTTTACTATGTTTTCTCTTGTTGAAGGTTGTATACAGGCCTCTCAGCAGAAATATTGTTTAGATTGGTCCACTTCAAAAGAAATGTCACTGTGCAGCATGAGGGGGGGGGGGGGGGGGGGGGTGATTTGAGTGAACCATAACAATTTTGTGGGAAGAAAAGTATGCATCGTCTTATTCATTACTCCGAATTGAGTCAAATATTGCCTTCTGGCATATCTTATCAGAGGAGGTATTATGTAGTTTGGGAGGACAGCAACTATTTAGGAAATTTGAAAGTATGCATTGATGATGAGTGTGAAAATTGACCCACATTAGCCTACCAGGTGAATTTTGAAAATACCAGCATTTGTTCAAACCAAGTTAGAAGCTAACAGAGAGGTCAGCCTTGGTTTTTGGTACTAAAATCTATTTTAGTCGAGGTAGGAGCCCAATGTTATCATTTAAAAGAGAAATTTGAGCTCTTAACTTCTGATGAAGGTGCAAAATGTTTTGTGACCTTTTTTTCTTCTCCATCCTATTTAAGAGCATGTGGAAAATATCACAGTTGCTGCAAGTAGCACTGTCACATGATAATGATTGCTTTATCATCAAATTCTTTTCAAGTCAAAATAGGATTATTTAAACTCTTCAGAGCAAATCTAGGGCACCATTCCACAAAGCCTTTTTTTTCAATGACAAATGACAACAGTCAGTGACAAATCTGCTGATAACCAATCAGAAGCAGCAATTTCCCTAGCTTATAACAAAAACTGTCATTTGTCACCGATGAAATGGGGCTTTTTTGTGTCTACAGTTCCATTTACTGGTTAGCCGAAACTAATTAGCCATTGACACGTATCTGTGTGCCATTCTTGTTTATTGTTTGTGATTGTTTGGTCAATTCCAGTCTAATCCATGATATACACCTGTTCTTATTTTCTACATGATCAACTACCGGTGATCAGAATAACTTCTAGGCCTTCTTTTTCACAGTGACTTTGCATGACCAGTAGTCCAGTACACTCTCTTACCCAAGTGTATTTATCTTTAGTACAGGTCTAATTCCCACTAGGCTCTCTGAAGATAAATTGCATATCTGCCACACAATAGAATAATATTGTACTGCTAGTGCAAACTGCAAAATCCTTTGATCATTGTTCGAGACCATTGAGCAAAAGCAGTTTTATTATGGTACTGTGATTTTATTTTATTGTTGTCATCTGTGATGCATGCAAATGGTTCTTCAAGGGTCACTTGCTAACCTTGCTTTAATGAAAGAAAATGAAATGGAATTGAAAATTAGGTCAGTGATCTTGTGAGCATTTCTTTTATAACCCCCTATTGGAACTAGTCACATCTAAACTTACAGATAGATTATAGATATCTGCAGGAAATAAATGTAGGTCATTTTGGTGGAGAAGGAATGTTAGTTAGGCTTCTAATCAGAGTTGCATTCAGGGGCACTTGATGATAACACCAAACATTTCAAACAATCTTGATCCAAAATCTGAAATAAATAGATTTAAAAAAAAAATTGTTTATTTGTAAGTATGTTCTATATGGCTAAGAGTTTTCCTCAGGACCTACAATGTATATTATTGTATTGGCCAAGAACAGCCTACGGTACTTCATAACTTTAACATTTTAGTAGTCTAATGCCTAATGGTAAATATTCCCATTCCTCATCCATGTAGATGTATCTCCTGTCTACTGTGTTCAGCGAAACTGATGATCCATATAAAGTAGGGTTCCCATGCTCTCTGAAAATCCTGGAAAGTCACAGAAAAATAAATCTCCCAAAGTCATGAAAAGTCATGGAAATCAATCTTGTGTCCGGGCTGTGTGTGGCTATGGCAGACTTCCGATTGGAACTGAAAATGGGCGTGATACTTGTGTGCTGCTTGGATGCCACAACCCATACCAAAATGGTACTCATCTGGTCATGGAAAAAAAAAAGGCAAAAATGGGTCATTGTAAGACAAGTCATGGAATTGGTTCTGTGAGAACCCTGCATTTAATCATATCCATGTTTCATCGTAATACATAAAAATGATGATCATATTTCTCTTGTTTTATATTTCTGCAGTTCCCAAAGTGCGATGGTTCACATGTCGGCCACAACAAGGCGACCGGCGACAACGTTGGACCCCTCTGCCTGTCCAGAAAGTCTGCATCATCTTAAATATCGAGAAAATATCGCAAACCCCACCTGAAGTTTCTTTCGTTTTACGTGCACTCGCTACTCATAAATTGTCTTCATGATGTTCCCTCATTAAACAGCTGAGTAGCTACGTGTTCTCTGCTGAAAGCCAGATGGGTATTAACTCTTTGGGTTGCTATGGATTAAAACCCTGAACAGCCACAATGTTGGGAGTACATGTATATTATACACATATGCTTACAAAATATGTGTGACAAAGGTCAACTATAGTAGTCCACTGGTTGCTGCTTTGGTCGACCGAAGCTGGCAAAGAGTTTACCCTTTCGGGACAATAATTCCATATTTTGGGGTTAGGCTCCATAACTTTTGATCCGGAGCCCTACAAAAGATTCCAGATTTATGAGTAGAAAATCAGACAAAAAAGTTCTGCATATTTTCATAACCATATTGCGTTTGATGCCAGGAATTTAAAGAAGAAAAATAAGCTTTGACATCCTTAAATTGCAACAAATCGAGAGGTTCTGAATCATCAGTTCTTTGAATTGGCAACTTTTTCAACCTTTGGACAAAGGCTGTACACATACAAATATATTGTTCTTAAACTATAGACATTATATTTGTATTAGAACAATGTAGCAATAAACAAATATTATTGTTGCCAATTTGAAGAAAATACATGTGATCAATCCTTCTTAAAAGGTTAACTCATATACTTTTTAATAGAGTTAACACCCTTCTGGCTCTCAACAGATGTTCTATGGATATAAAGGTTTACAGAGTTACAGAGTCCTTATTGTAATGATCTGGTGCTTTTAGTGCATTACATTTAACTGGAATCTTCCATATTGAATAGAGTCTGCATCAACATGATCAATAATAACATTTGGGATTGTGAAACATCATCATCACCACTTCAATTCTAACACGCAAGTCCCTCGACTTCTATGCAGTCATCGTCTGGTTTAATAGCTAGGTTAATAGAAGGCAATAAAGTACTAGTAGGTTTGTTCAGGTTATACATACAACTGTAGTACTTGGTCAGGTGTTTACCAAATTCATGAGTGTCAGAATTGCCTTGTGTCCATGAAGTTGAAATAATTACAATTAATTAAAACACCATTGTCCCTGTATGCACTCATATAATTGTCTTTCTAATTATCACTACTATAGACTGCGTCTGTTCATGAACAGTTGTTCACAAGGTCGCTCCAATAATGTTTGCGGTTCTCTTGTTCACACTTTGTACTTACTTGGTCGGGTGTTTACCCAAATTCATGTAACTAGAATCAACATTGTCTTGTCTCCATGAAGTCTACAGTATTAATTAAAATACTTTTATCCCTGAATGCACTTCTATTATTGTCCTTCTAATTATCACTGCTTGATTGCTTCTGTTCATAAACAGTTCTTTGCAAGGTCGCTCTGATAATGTTTGCTGTGCTCTTGTTTACACTTTGTACTTATAGAGTAAAATTTGGATGCATTGGATGAAATTTTATAGGAATCTCTTGAGATTGAAGAACAATTGTACAATTATATTCAGAGATCTTCCCTTTCATTTCTTTATGTAGTGGTTGACTGTGTTTAACTTGTATCAATTTAGATTGCTTAACAATTGCTAACAGTTCAGCACTATATTATCACTATTTCTCTAAAGTATTACTGCTTTTCAAAATGCAAAAAATATTTGTTTATTCGCAAATGTGCAAAGAATGACATTTATTCATTATGACATCTTCACTTGAATTTAAAAGCACGGCATGTTTATTTGAAATGAGGTTGCAATGTGATTATAAAGCAGATTTTTAAAATGTTGTTGTGTAAATGTATGTCCGATTGTATGTGTATATACCAGGTCCTGGTTTATTTAGCGTGTTTTCACAATTTAATTGCTAGAAGAGATATATTGTGGTGTGTGTGGTTTCAAAGATGTGTATTCGGATTATGGTACATGGTACAAAATTAGCAATATTGTGCATTTTCATGGTTTAACTAAAGAGTCTACGACACTATAAAATACACCAACAGATATGTTAGAGTACTACAAGTATTCAAATGTTTTCTAAACTTGAAATTTCTACATCTTGTGTATTAAAGCACTATAAATTAACCAATATGCTTGCCCAGGACAACCTAGATTTGCTGAATAACAAGTACATGTGCATGAAACAATACATAAAATAGTCTGTATTTGTGGAAATTTAGGCAACTCCAGAAAATGTTGGACAACTGGAATAACTTTGTTTCTCATTCTTGCAAAGACAACATCACATATTTTTGTAAGCATCATTTAAAACTCTTTCTTGGGAGACAAGTTTTGTGTGAAAAAGGCTGAGATTATGAATATTGCCTGAATTGTAATGTGATTCGTTACTCTTTAAATTTTGTAGTTGTTTGAGTTCCTATGTAGTCCATCATTGTGTTTTATACATGTATGTATGGTGTCGAGTTGTGGGAAATGGCTGATAAATGCAAACATGTTCAATAGTTATGAGGAATACATGTAATTACAAGTGATGAAGTACAGAAGTTCCTGAAAAAAGATGATTTTTCAATAATATCTTGAGACATCTGTCTTCTTTGGGAGAACTATGATTCAAGGTTTCATACCAGTGGAGAGCTTTAATTGGTGCAAAATATTTTATAAAAATTCTCTGATCTTGAAATTTAGACTTCTATACTTGTTTCTCTCTCCAAGATGTCTGTGATGGCTATAAGTCAAGAGAATGTGTAAAGTTTCATCATTCTTACAAACTGATGTAATCACCATCTTTGAAGGCAATTCTATTTAGATTCAGTTGTCCTTCATTGAAACTAATAGGAAGACTGGTCGTTACCACTTCTCTAGACAGATGGATGCTCATTTCCCTATGTATTCATTGACTGCAATAAATCAGAGATGGGATAAATGGTCAACAATCTTGGATTGTAATGAACATATGCAAACTGAAGATGAAACAAATTGTTATTCCTGAAACGGGTAACACAATACAACGCTTGGTTAAACCAAGTCTGAAAAAGAAAGTAATTGTTGCATTTTTTTGTTATTTACTTGATATAATGTTTTGGGTGTTTCTAGTATAATGATTTGCCTGTATGTAAAAAGGGAGAGTGGGTTAAGAGGAATTATCATCTTTCATAAAAAAATCTTAGTTCGTGAAAGAAAATGTGAAAAACTGGTCAGTGTATAAGCATGAGTAAAATGAGACATTTTGATCGTGAATATTTGTACATTTAAAAAAAAAAAAATTGAAACTTCAGACCATGTGCAAAATTAAGGAATCCCTTTAATTGATTCATATGTCCTGACGTGATTTTTCTGAATAAGAACATATAATTGATTTAACCTCCATTGGAAATCTCAGTTAACATGGGGGGGGGGGGGGGGGTATTATGAGTGATTTTTTTCTCAAGAAAACAGAATTGGTAATTTTACCCCTGTATGACATCTTTATTTTGATCCAGAACATGGAACTTTTGCATTTTGAGTAAGCTTTCTTTTGTTTTTACAGAAAATTCATCAAGCTGTGCTTGCAAATGTTCAACTAGCCATGAGCAATGAAGAATAACATGCTTTTGTATGCACTACTAACAAAAAATGAAACGGCTGAATTATTCAGACGCATCTGTGACGTAGATTGCTTATAAACAGGACAAGAAAATACGCAAGGGGGCGCTTTACCGTAAAACCTGTTTATCAATAACAATTTCCACAGATCTATGACAGATCTGCTGATAGCCAAATCAAATATGAGGATGGCGGCCTTATAAAATGGAAATGGGGGGGGGGGGGGGGGGGAGAATTATGGAAGGAAAAATGAGAAAAGAAAGAGAAAATAATCTACAAGAGAAGAAGATAGAGAGTGGTGGAAAAGGAGAGAGAGAGAGAGAGAGAGAGAATGGAAGAAAAAGAAGGAAAATGAAACTTAAATTTACACTTACAGATTACAATTCCGATGAGTTGGCTCGACATGTGCTAAAGAAGTATGCGGACGAAAGTGCAATACGAGAAAAAAAAAGTTCTATAAAAAACACTCTTTAATGAAGGATTAATCGTTTGCATCCAAATGGATTTTTTTACCTTTCTGAGAGCTCTCGGGGGTTTTGACTCCTGAATCCCTGGTGGGGGGACTGTTCCTACAGCCCACCAGGACCCCTAACACGGACCCCCTGGACCCCATTAGTAAAGATAGAAGTGCTCCCAAGAAAACCCGCTGCTGTATACAATTGTCCTTAGGAGAGAGTGAGCGTTTATACAGCTCAAGACGGTCATCTTTGAGGTTCTGAAATGCTAAAACTCGAGAGCGCGTCCTGGGGCTCCGCCCCGGCAAGCGCGTAGCCAGGATTTCATTTTAGGGGGGGGGGCGGTAGTGAGCACGCGAAGCGTGCGAATCACTTAAAGAGCGCGCGAAGCGCGCTCCCTAGGGGGGTGGGTGCAGGGAGGGGGGAGCTTTGAAAGAAGACGATTCGTTGTACCTTTCTCGACTCATAATCCTTGTCTGAATTCAGTCCCTCCCCTCTCTCGCGCGAAGCTTTGACGTTTCATTAAATTATTAGAGAAAGAAGACGATTCGTTGTACCTCTCTCGACTCTTAATCCTTGTCTGAATTCTGTTCCCCCCCTCTCTCACGCGAAGCTTTGACGTTTCATTAAATTATTAGAGAAAGAAGACGATTCGTTGTACCTTTCTCGACTCTTAATCCTTGTCTGAATTCTGTTCCCCCCCCCCCTCTCGCGCGAAGCTTTGACGTTTCATTAAATTTTTAGAGAAAGAAGACGATTCGTTGTACCTTTCTCGACTCTTAATCCTTGTCTGAATTCTGTTCCCCCCCCCCCCTCTCGCGCGAAGCTTTGACGTTTCATTAAATTGTTAGAGAAAGAAGACGATTCGTTGTACCTTTCCCGACTCATATTTCTTAATTTGAACTCAGTTTCCCCTTCCCGCGCGAAGCGCGGAAGCTTTGACGATTCATTGTACCGTTCTCGACTCCTTTTCCCTTTTTCTTCCTACGTCCTCTTTCTTTCTTTTTTCTTCTCTTTCTCTCTCTTTTTTTTTTTTGGCCGGCGTTTGGGGGGGGGGGGGGGCGACCGCCCCCACCGCCCCCCTGGCTACGCGCCTGCGCCCCGGAACCGCCTGAGGCCCTCAAGCTCTGCCATACTGTACGGATCCATTATGAGGCAAAATAGGCCCCACTTAATAATTCATATAAATAAATGTTGAAAAAAAGTATATGTACCAAATCACGAGAATTAGGTTTGAAAATTAATTTTTTCTTTGTGGCCCCCTCAGACACCCCCTGTCCGCGCACCGCTTCTGTCTGTCTTCATTGTGCCCCCCCCCCTTCAAAAATTCCTTGGTCCGCGCCTGAATGTGTGAACCTCATGAGTAGTAGACTAGAATGCTGGTTGAATGTAAGCTGGAAGCCATAATTATGTATGCTTTAATGATGGAAAATGATGGTGAGACAGAAACAGGATGTTAGAAGGAACCTATGGACTGAGAGAGAGAGAGAGAGAGAGAGAGAGAGAGAGAGAGAGAGAGATAGGGTGGAATTGGAAGGAAAAAAGGGGGGGGGGGGTCAAATAATCAAAGAATATGGGGGAAGGGGACGGGAGATATGGCGAGAGAAAGAGAAGGGGTGTCGCAGAGAAAGGGAAAAGACGAGAATGTATAACGAGAATGCTATCTCGACGAAGGGTGGGGTACTGGAGGTGGACAGGAGGGAAGGGCGATGATGATACATTTAGGGCAGATCATCTCGAATAGAAAATGCCATCTAAAACGCACAATATAGAACTTCTCCATACATAGTAGAAAGTTTGGCGTTATGTGCCTTGTTGGGGGAGGGGGGGGGGGGGGGGACTAAATCAATGTTAGCCTATTGTACATCAATATTATTATAAGAATGTAAATTGTATACATCTTAAATTGTACATTTTATGCTTCCATTCACTTTTGTAACACCTTTTAAAAATCTATAAATAAATATTGAATAGTGATAAGGTTTGTAGCAATCATGATATGGCAATTCAGATCTGCCGGGGGGGGGGGGGGGGGGGGGGCGTTTCATCAAACAATTAGCCGGTGGTTTTCACTGACTAATTTCCATCCTATATCCATGGAAATTAGTCGGTGATGAGTGTCGGTGAAAATGATATTAGTCGGTGAAAACCACCGACTAAATAGTTTGATGAAACGCCCCCTAGATGGTGTCCAAGGTTTTTAATTAATGTACTTATAATGTGTCCCAATGTACGAAGGTCGGGAGGGGAGCTTTTTTGTTTTTTGTTGTTTAAATTTTGAAATACCAATTACTTCTTGACACAAGAGAAGTCCAGGGGTGGGCGAGCGGACCTTATATAATGGGTGTGTGAATGGGAGTGTGTGAATGTGAGTGTTTATGAGAGTGTCCATGGTACAGGAGTGAGAATAGGAGCGTGCATATGAGTGAGAGTGTGTAAAAGCAAATTTAAGGGTCCGCGCGCTTGCTCTTAATTTGACCCACTCTTGTGTCACCTCACAAATTATATTTTAAAACTAATTTAATTTTGTCTGTTATTGCCTTAGTCATATTGGTTATGAATTTTGTTATAAACTGTATATTATATTTCGTGAGAATGCTCATAATTTGACCCACTCTTGTGTCACCTCACAAAATATATTGTAAAACTAATTTAATTTTGTCTGTTATTGCCTTAGTCATATTGGTTATGAATTTTGTTATAAACTGTATATTATATTTCGTGAGAATGCTCATAATTTGACCCACTCTTGTGTCACCTCACAAAATATATTGTAAAACTAATTTAATTTTGTCTGTTATTGCCTTAGTCATATTGGTTATGAATTTTGTTATAAACTGTATATTATATTTCGTGAGAATGCTCATAATTTGACCCATTCTTGTGTCACCTCACAAAATATATTGTAAAACTAATTTAATTTTGTCTGTTATTGCCTTAGTCATATTGGTTATGAATTTTGTTATATACTGTATAATATTATACTTTGTGTGAATTTCAAACCTTTGTATGTATTATTGCCAATGTAAATACATAATTCAGCCATTTTGGCTGCGAAGTGCAATTATAATAAAACCTTTTCAATCAATCGTTATGGCTTGTCATTTGGCTTGCCCAACACGTAATATATGCAATTTGCATTCCAACTCTTGGCATAGAATCATTCATAACGGGTAGATTGAATTATTCGTAAAGGCACTATGAATATAACAGACAAAGAAAGCGGACAAAATATACAGCTCCTGAGGTAGATAAAGGAACATCCCTTCACTGCTATTATGTAAAAAGGTGAATATGCATGTGACACCTGTTCTACACATTTTCACATAATAGCAGTGAAGGGGTGTTCCTTTGTGTACCTGAGGAACTGTATATTTTGTCCGCTTTCTTTGTCAGTCATATTCATAGTGAGGGTCACCTTAAAAACCTTCCAGTTATTTCTTGTCATATTGCGTAAATGAGGGTATTTTTCGATCGACCCTTTTTCAGGAGACATTTCTTCTAGGGTTATTTCAAAATGAGAATTGAGAAATTTCACGATTCAGTTTCCATCTTTACCAGAACTCATGCAGTCTTCTCCTTGAATTCACTGACAAGAAATAATACAAAAGAAGCCAATAATACCGTCGCTGGTGTCTTTTATTTGTTATAGCACGTAACAAACACTCATTATATTGTTACTTTGTGAAATCTTTAGTAGAAGATACTTTGTCTGGTTGGGAAGACCCTTTGGCAAAAGACGTTTGAAAGCGAAATCATTCATGATTTCATGTTGTTGACGAGATGGTGATAATTGAGATCTCCCATTTGTAAGAGTAGTAGATTGATTATCTTGCAGAGAGAGAAGGAAAGGGGGGGGGGGCACATGGTCCAAAAACTGTCTGAAAAGCGGGCTCTCTTATTTTCAGCCGATTGTAAGCATTACTTCCCCATTTATCAGAATCTTGAATCTTTGAATTTGTCCCTGGGTGTAGACATGTTCATCAAAAATTAATGCACAA